ACATCATTACTCACTCCGGAATGCAGGTACATCTAGCCGACGAGTCCCAGCTAGGACGAAATGCGCGTTATCCTGGATTCCACTGCTAGTCACCATCCACTAATTATCATCTGAATGTCTTCATTGAACATCTATGCGCACTCTTACATGTCATCTGTATGCATACTGTGCGTCGGTGGCACAGTGTTTAGGACTCTCGCCGACCATGCACATGGTCCGGGGTTCGAGCCCACGCCGACGCACACCTGATATCTATGATCGACCTGCAAAATTTGGGCTACCGATATCCATGCTGAAAATTCCATACTTGTACCAAAAATACGGTGTGGAATCAAGCTGTAAATCAAAAAAAAAATTTGATCTGGGTAGACTCAAAGTTTTGGGAATATGGAGTAAAGTGATCGAATCGGTGGACTGATGTACTTATTTTATGCTCACCAGCCTTAATGCATAGTACTAATGATGTATTCTTAGTATATCAAAGGTTCTATTTAGTATTAGCCAACATGTTTGATTTCTCGTGGATGTAAGATATTCTAGGCAGCCTATCGAAGTTTAACTTTATTAATTGCTAGCCAACTTTTTCATTACTGTGGTCATACATAGAGGCTATTAATGCGTTTACGGTTAGGAGAGAAATAAGGGAAGTTGAGTTATCAATAAATTACAAAAAAACTGACGATCATATTGATACTAATAATAATATAAAAGTTAACCGTTCCTCTTGCCTTGGCTAAAATGAACCATTAGACCCAGAAAGATAACTCAGTGATCCTGATACGAAAGTACAGGAAGTTTAACATGTACTATTTTGCGTCATCTGAAGGTACTAGTTATCGTGAGGAAAAACTGCGTAAGTCTCTGTCTAAAGAACTGTGAAATTAGTTACATGGTAGAGGTGCATGTGTAGACATCCCAAGACCATCATGATTTCTTTGTCGTCTAAAGTTTGTTGTTTTTTTTTATAAAATCAAACAGGATAAAAATCAATAAACCATGAACAAACATGGAGAAGTGATCCTCTGTATTCATTGTATAAATTGCCTACTAATGAATTAACTGTTCAGGATATCAGATGAGCCTTCTAAACAATACACATCAGTATGTTGAAGCAGTCAGGTGTTGGTTGTCGATTCAACGTGTAAAATATAGTGCGTTTATTTATGAAATGTATGTAGTAGATAGGAAATGGGTGTACTGAATGAATGAATGAATGAATGAATCATGAACAGACTTAAGTATGGGGCTTATCAATCACTAGGCCTCTTAATCCAGTCACTGAAAGCAAAATTCCTCCATACTTTAATAATGATATAACATGTATTTATTCTTGTATATGTAAGGATGCACCAAAAGTATAGACACGGATAAGTTATTATTTAAATCACATGAATTGTGTTTATGATGAATTTCCGCGGTCGCTGTTCATTTTTTCAACAGTAGTTAACGGAAACAATCTGCTGAGTAGGCAGTGAATGTTGCAAATTCAGAAAAATATAATTATCGTCTTTTTCAAATCACGGAATATACACATTTGATCATAGGGAATAAAAAGACAGTTGTAGCGAAGAGAATTTCCTTTTCGACGAAATCATCAACCAGGTAGCTGTACATTCGTGTATTTATAATAAATAGGTAGGAAAGTTACAGAATAATTTCTGGTCAAGAGTCAGATTATTAGAATTACAATTAGGAATTAATATGCCACTATAAACAGGGGGACGGATAAAGCTCAGACAAAGTAACATCATAATTACTGAGAAGATTGACATATTGTATAATTAGAGGTTAGAAGTGTAGAAATGACAGCAATAGACAGGATGTTTGGATAAGAAAATATGGTAGTACCAAGCGCCAACTTGAAAAACGCGCTCATGAACACTATCCAGCCTGGTTAGTAAAAGAAGAACGCAAACGTGTATATAGTTCAGTGACAGAGCATGTGGTCAATTCAGGACATTCAGCGCTATTTGAAAAATCCTTCAAATTAATATACAAGATTCGATCAAACCTATCAAAAGGAGTAAAATTGCGACATCTGGGCATTGCCGAGGCACTATCCAAAAGTTCAAACCCACGCTATGTATCCAAAAGAAATACGGTCAACCCTTATCCCTGCCGTGACCATCATAAACCGGTAATTCTTCGAATAGTGACTATCCCATTGACTTTCTTATCAAAACCTCCTGTTTATTCATGTTCGTTTTAAGTTTTTCTTAATCCCTATTTACACTACCATATTTTCATATCTGAACTTCCTGTCTATTTTGTCATTTTATTATTTCTACATATCTAATCCCTGATTGCATAAACAATTATTCGTCACATTAGTTGTGATCCCACTAGATTTTCTTATCCAAACATCCTGTCTATTGCTGTCATTTCTACACTTCTAACCCCTAATTGTACGATATGTCAATCTTCTCAGTAATTATGATGTTACTTTGTCTGAGCTTTATCCGTCCCCCTGTTTATAGTGGCATATTAATTCCTAATTGTAATTCTAATATTCTGACTCTTCACCAGAAACTATTCTGTAACTTTCCTACCTATTTATTATAAATACACGAATGTACAGCTACCTGGTTGATGATTTTGTCGAAAAGGAAATTTTCTTCGCTACAATTGTCTTTTTATTCCCTATAAAATATAGTCTTCTTAATAGCAAAACTGAAAAGCAGGTCTGTGTTGAATGGATCACAAATACCTGGGAAAAACTAAATTCTGAAGTCAATCCCACTATTTATAACTTGCTGTGTACGGCATCTAATCTTATTCTTGATGTATAGTCAGATGGTGTTTTAGTTTAAAATGACTCGTATATTTTTATCACTTTGTCAGCAGTGTAACCGTGCAGAATACTATCAGAAGGGAGTTGTACTCTATGCAGACCAATATTGGGCATAGCCATGCACATTTGTTTTTCTTTATCAAATGTATGGGAGTCCTCCAAAGTTGGGCTATTACCACCATTTCTAGTTGCATGGTAGTCTGTATGTGTAAGTTCAACAAGATGTCGGAAAATTTTTTTGGAAACCCATTGTATCTTCATTTTACATCATGAATACTACTTATGCAGAATGTTATTAACCCTGTAGCTTTTCCAGATCTTGAGTTATTATGAATCAATAGTTTGAAGATTGATGTGGTATACGGCACATTAATGACTTTATGTTTCTGAATAAATGACATATATGCAGTTAATAAGACTTCTAAGCAGAGAATAATTCCTTGAACAACTTAAATTCATTGAGTTTTGACACCATTCTAGATAGATTCTCTTCTTAGATGGTTGGAGGCGATCGGCCACAGGAAGCCTTGAACCTAGGCACGCCTCGCTGACGAGTGGTAACTAGCCTCGAAACCTAAGTTAAAGGCTTTCTGCCGATCGCCTCGAACCATCTAATATCATCAAATCATTGTACACCGTGATGGTGAACTACCTAGGATGGTGGCCACATTGCAAACCTGACCCGATAGAATTCAGTCTGCACCAAGGACACGACTAGACAAATCACACTGGTTACTAGTGTCCAATCAAAGATCCTCTTCAAATGAACTGTCCCCAAGATTTGACAGAATAGTTCCGAAATATCTGGGCGCCGAGTGAGAAGTAGACATTGGTAGAAAATTATATTTGTAAAATCTCAGCGATATTGAAATGAGTAATTCCAAAGTTTCGTTTGGCAATCTGGTCCGAACTTCTTCAGGGAAATTAATTGAAATGAACATAACAGAGGTTTATATATAAAAGGAACATCTCTTGTTTTTAAAGTGTTTAACAAAGGTAGATCAATATTTGTAAGTCTGAGGTCAAATTTTGATCACAACTCGTACAATTTTGTTTATTATACTTGTTAATGCTTGTTTTATGACTCATGATTGGACAAAGTTTTTAAAAACAAGAGATGTTCCTTTTATGCATAAACCTCTGATATGTTAATTTCGATTAATTTCCCTGAAGAAGTTCAGACCAGATTGCCGAACGAAACGTTGGAATTACTCATTTCAATATCGCTGAGATTTTACAAGTATAATTTTTAACAAATGTCTACTTCTCACTTGGCGCCCAAATATTTCAGAACAATTCTGTCAAATCTTGACTACAGTTCATTTGAATTATTTTGCAATCGAATTAAATTAACAAAGAAACTATGCAATTGGCATAATCATCGTGTTTTTGCTCTCCGTTGTCTGCAACAGAATACGTATCCTAAATCTGTAGCTGTCCAGTCGCCTTGAGACAACTCCAGTAGGTCGAATAAAGCAGCTCAATCTTCAGAAAGAAGACAAAGTAATAAGTTCAGCAGGGTGCTTCAACTAAACTCCAATCCTAAACACCATAATTTTGAAAATATGTCTAATACATCTAAAATTCTAGATACTAACAGTTTGAACAGATATGAAGGTGTGTGGTGTTAGCTGACGCATACGAAATCGTGATTAATAAATAAAAATGGATATGTATCACTAACTAATAATACTTGGTCAAAGTTCCCGACTGTCTGTATCTGCTTATGGAGACGTTAAGACATTGTTTTACAATTGTTTACCCGCACACACATACACACTGTCTTTAAAGTGTTTAACAAAGGTAGACCAATATTTGTAAGTCCGAGGTCAAATTTTGATCACAACTCATACAGTTTTGTTGACTATACTTGTTAATATTTGTTTTATAAATCATGATTGGACAAAGTTTTTAAAAAACAAAACAAGTTCCTTTTATATATATAAACCTCTGTTATGTTAGTTAATTTCGATTAATTTCCCTGAAGAAGTTCGGACGAGTTTGCCGAACGCTGGAAACTTTGGAATTACTCATTTCAATATCGCTGAGATTTTACAAATATAATAATTTTTTACAAAAGATCCTCTTTTCCTAAAATTGGTTCATATTACGATAAATAATTTTGGAGAATTTAAACCATGCAGAATGAATTTTAATTCAAGTATTTATTGTATTGATTTTTGTCATTAACTTTTTGTTTTAACCCTAGTTTCAAGTTCCACCACGTCATAAAGGATTTCGTGATTTCTTTCGATCTGGTAAAGTTAATACTGTTACACATATGCAACAAAGGTTACGTAACAATATTAGACAACGTAGTAATGTAACACAGACAAATTTGTCCACAAAACGATCAGATACTATTGGTAATAATAATAATGATGATGATAATAATAATCATATTTCAGAAGATAATCACAGTAATCTGATGAGTGTTAAACACGCTGCCAGTTTGTCTAGTATACTTTCACGAAAATTTCGTTTAACAAAACTTGACAGACCTGAGAGTAAGAGAGGAGGCGAAAACCACAACCATCATGAATCAACTGAAATGTCTAGTAATAATAATAATAATAATAATGATCGAGTCGATCATGTCACTGCAATCAATAATGCTACTTGTGGTAATCTTGATAATGATGCATCAAATGTGAATATCAGTCAAGAGACGATAATTATTGATGATACTGTCTCAAAGTTGGATTCTGTTGACGATGTTGGAACTGGTAATAATAACAACAATACTAAGAATAGTGAATTTCCGAAGAATTTCTCTACCTCGAATGCTAATGTTAATAATGAAAGGCCAATGAAGCACAATCTAACGACCACTGGTAGCCAATCTGAAAGAACATTCAATGAAGAAATGAAGAATAATCGTCAGCATGATAATAATAATAATAATAATGACCCGATGTTATTTTTATCAAGTCGTTGTCTACCTCCTGTTATTGAAGCTTTAGATCTCGATTTCTCTTTGCAAGCTTCACAGCATATTTTAAGTGATTCACGTTGGATAGATGATGACAGTGGACAACAACAACAACAACGTAGTGCGTCTGCAGAAAAATTGGATACACGACAACAAGATTCATCACAGTATATGCATCAATCGGGTAAGTTTTCAGTTTCATTTAACGGTTTATTCGGTGGTCTGTCTGTCTGTCTGTTTTCGACATAGAACTTTGCACAAATGTGCGGAAGTTCAAGTCACCACACTCCGTGTAGCACGCGAAGCAAGAGAAGAAAGTACAAGAAAAGCATAATAGAGACAGTAAGCAGAGGTGTGAGGCAAAGGAGGAGTAATAACGAAGAACAATATAGTTTCATTGGAAATCATAAGTCACAAGAAGTGGATGCATCTGCGCCACTGAGAATGATTTTGAGCCATGTCACCAATTGTTTCCAACCATAGATTTTTACCGTCCCGAGGACCCCAGCCTGGAAGTCTACGCCTTTCTACGTGGCTTAGACCAACTGTTGTGGATTTCATTGACTGGTGAGGCCAAGTTTTTGTTTGACCGCCGCTAGCTTTTTTCCAGCCTGACCCTATATCCGCTAACATAGCTCGTCGAGGGAGGCGATGACTTGGCATACGTAACACATGTCCTAACCATCTCAGTCTTTGTAACTTCACGACTTCGTCGATTGATTTCCCCTGTTTACCTAGAACTCTACGCCTAACCTCCATGTTGCTCACCTTATTATGTCACTTTACACGGGAAATAGAACGCAGGCACCTATGATCAAAGACAACTAGCCGGGCTTTTCATGTCTTCCACTCTCAGTGGCCAGGTCTCACAGCTTGCCATAAAGGAGGACGGAGCGGACTGATGAGCAGTACACCCGCCCTTTGGTCGATAGTCGAACATCTCGTCTACGCCAGAGTCGGCGTAAACTGGCAAATGCGAAACGGTGGAGATAATATCTGTGTTGATGGGCTGTTATCGATCTAGTGATTGATAATTGAAGATACAATCAAAATCTGCATTATAGGCAGGATTCGGTCTGATAGCCAATCCAACAATAACTTGCAGTTGCCGCACCTGTTGTATGAGAACTAGTGGTACTCCATAGCTACCCAAACACTGGCAGTTGAAGCGGATTTCGAGCCTAGGACCAACTGGTTGGAAGTCGAGCACCAAAACCACTGGTAGAGAGCTCTACCAGCCAAGATATGAGAACCAACTGCTTATCAGGTCATGATTTTGCTGAGATCATCACAAGTAAGGGTCAGGTGGGATATCAACAAACGATACATACCTGTCCCTATTTTCATCACACCAGCTTTCCAGCATGGTCCTTTAGTGACGTGCGCAACAAGTCTCTGGAGCTACATAGAAGGACTCAAGATCCGAATTTTGTCTCTTATGCTGAATGTAGCAGATTTTCACACTGATATCAGATCAATGAAGGTCTGTCGTGTTTTCATCATCCTGGATGTCTGTAACACCCTTATTTGTGCTGCATGTAGTTGACAGGATGTTACCTATGTATTGTCCAACAGTGCGCACCCATAAATGCACTAATAATCAAACGCAGTGATTTGAGTTCATGGCCTGATGACGTTTATCATTCACTCATCGAATAAGTATTCAGTACACTGATACTAACCACTGCTATCTGGAAGCATCAGGTTCACACTTGATACTACGGACCTAACCAGCCGTGAGAACTTATTAGTATTTCACAACACTCCTCCTAGAGTCCGTCGCTAATAAACGTTATGTTTGTATGACTTCAAATAAGTCACCTGACGACAACAGTCCATTTAGCTTTCTAGTAGTACGTGTGTTTCGATTTGACACTAGTTACTAGTGTGATGCGTCTAGTCATCTGATTGGTGTAGACTGAATTCTATCAGTTAGGTTGTAATGTGATCACCATTCTAGCTAGCTCGCCATCACGGTGCACATTGATTTGATGGTATTGGATGGTTGGAAGCAATCGGCCAAAAGAAGCCTTGCTTGACCTAGGTTTCGTGCTAGTTGGCACTCGTCAGCAAGGCGTATCTGCAACTACCTTGAAGGGACTCATGTCCCACCTCTCTGAGATTCGAATCCGCGTCACTAGTTACTAGTGTCCAGTCGAAGTATCCAGTACAGTCCTAAAGGAAGGAGGTCAATGGCGAGCCTGAATCGCTCAGTGGTAACGTCTCTGACTGCAGCACTGTGTGACGCGGGTTCGAATCTCAGAAGGGACATGAATTCCTTCAGGCTGGTTGCAGATACGCCTTGCTGACTAATGAGTGCCAACTAGCACGGAACCTAGGACAAGCTTTGCTTCCTGTGGCCGATCGCCTCCAACCATCTGGGACATGTGTTTATCGATCAGTTATGAAAATCGGTCAATGGAGGGGTGAATTATATCGCCATACTAGCTTTCTTTCCTATAGGACTGGCTGAAGCTTGATACCCTAGTTTAAGACATCTTGGCAATTTAATTGTCTTTACATTTTAATGTCACCTATGTAAAGAGTGAGCTTATTCTCAAATGCCCTCACCACTGAAGTTAGTATCAAATCTCTGTCGAATGTTTTGACTGTCATTTGAAATAGTAGGAGCTGCCTTGTCACACAGTCCCTTCACTCACTTCTTTTTATGTGTCGATGGTATTGCTGTTCTGGTGGTGGTGTTGCTCGTCGTCGTCGTCATGGCAGTTGACATCGTGACTACTTTACTAAATAGTATTCCCGGTCATACCACAGATGTCCAGAGATTTTAAATAGCAATGAATTATTTGAGAGTTTCGGAATGTTCAGCTTAAATGTGTATTACAATGCGTTGCCGTTTTGAAGTCATGATAGTAATAATATTATTAAGGGGTTAGAAAGACTTTTAATATCTTGTTCATTCAAAGTGCTTGCAGTAATTCAGCCTTATTATTTCTGCATTTTATTCCTATACATTTCAAGTGGAACATGGGGCTTCAAACTTAAGCTTTGAATTTCCAATAGCATTGGTATTCAAGTATTGCTTTGTAGGGATTCGACTGATTGGTTACAGGATTTCATCGTGAGCTGACATTCATTAGAGAACTATTGGAAAACCTGGGAGTACTACAAGAGCTGTTTCGTCCTAGTTTGGGACCCTTCTGCAGTACCCACCTACAGGTGTTCGAATCTAGGACCTTCTGGTTACAGGGCGAGCTCGTATTTCTTGTTTACGGAATGGTATTGCCAGTCCCTCTCTTTATTGGTCTTCCTACCGGCTAAGCGACGTTTAAGAGTACTTTGGCCGGGAATCGAACCCCGGGTCTTGTGCTTGGTTAGAGAGTGTTCTACCATTGAACCACCACTACCACGTATTTAGTATCATGCATCAAAAGTAAGCTTTAAATTTCATGAAATGAGTCGGCGGTCCCCTCAACGTGTGTGTACTATCCAAATTTTTTTCGAGTGATGGGTTCTTGGTTACTTCGTCCCCACAATCCCTTGTTACTAATCCTTTCTGGCCATTTAATATTCAGTATGCAACTAAGGAAGACTGACTGACTCAACATTTTTGTTGAGTTAGTGCAGAAGATTTCCGAACTGATTTCAGATTGATGAAGGTCTATCTTTCTTCCTCACACTTGCCTTTGACATCCACGCCTGTGCTGTCACCTTTAGCTGGAGCGATACTGCTATCGTGTAATATGTTATCACCCCCCCATTTGGTTTTCAGCTCATCAGATATTTAACTGCAGAATTCCCATCAGCCATTAAAATACTCCGTGTTCGATTCCCAGCCGACATACTGACGGATCGCCTAGTTCACTGGATGGTAATAATTCCAGTAGGAAAGAAACGTATGGTGCGAGACTAGCGACCACACCTTTGTAAAAACAAAAGCATGACAGCTGAAACTTCATGGCCCCGAAGCATAATACTCCATTATGGTTTTTCTATGTACAAAACTACACTACTGAAAAATATTCAGTAGCAAGGTTTTGAAAACGAAATATTTCTTACGGATGATGTTTTGTTCTTTGCCTCTTTTCAGATTTCGAATCCTTGGGATCTATTGAATATGGTTTAGATTGGAGTAGAGATTTGACTACAGATCAGTTTCTTAATGACAACACTTTTATTTCTCATAGTGACCTGAGATTGAATCTTGAAAAAGATAAAGGTATTGAAAGTGAGAGAAAGCCAATCGAAGATGCTGGAGATGTGAACACAGCGAGAACATTGACCGTAGTTATACACGATGGTAGTTCATTTCAATTGCCTGTTGAACCGTATATTAGTGCACAGACACCGTCAGAATTGAAAAAATGTCCCTTATCTGACAGTACTTTGTTTAATTCATATGAATCAGAAAGTCCAGATGAATTATGTTTAGTGAAAGAAGCCTGTAAATGGGGTTACAAATTATTACAACGTGGTGTGGATTTTACACTCTTATGGTTACCAAGTAAGTCATGAAAATAAAGTATCAATATTTCTCTGCATTGTGTCAATAATTAATTTTTTTTTAACAAGGCTTAGATGTGAAGTACATAATCTGAAATTCGTAGTCAATGAGATGACTAAGAATTAGCTATATGTGATCTCACAATCATTCTCTGTCAACTTCAAACGCCCATTTATGCTGGCTGATTGTTGTCTGTTGTAGTTGCTGTTGGTGTTGGCCAGGAATCTTCATCACCTGAATCCCTATCTTTGATGCTTCTTCTGTCAACTTGTTGCTTTTCACTAGCATATCTTTCAGTTTGTGGTAAATCAGACATATATCATATATATAATGGTAGAATGATTGGTTATCACGTAAGTGGTCCGGGATCCGATTTCTAACCAACTAACCCACAAACCTTCAAGTTTACTTGTTCATGAGATTAGCAATCTAGCCCGTCAAAACGTCGTAATTGCTAAGGAAACTTCGATGTTTAAAGCACTAAGAACTTGATTCGATACTACTATTTACGTTTTCATTGCTCCCCTTTTGACTTTAACTTGTCGGTTGAATATGTGATTCATATTGTTAACATAATGTTGCAGTATCGAGGTAGCCGGATGTTATCGAGTGTCTCAGTCTTTCGTTTTTTTAGTAATTCGTCTCTTGGGCCTAAAGAAGTAAGCCAAATCAATAATTCAACATTCTATCTATCATTAATCATATAAAAGCACACATTCAAGCAAGTTGTTAATAAGAACACAATATTCAGCGAAGAGACTCTTTTCAACAACGAATTTATTATCAAACTGTACAATCGTAAATATATGGTTTTATAAAGAAATTATATCCAGTGAGGGAATTAGGTCAAAGGTGTGAATACATGAAATAATAACAGTAGTATGAAATTCAATTAAAATATTTGTGATTATAATCACAGTTTAATGTCAAGTGACAAAATAATTAATGTCATATATAGAATAATACATAAGGTGTATAGATTTTGGAGAGGGGCATATAGTTATAGGATTAGTAGGCGAATATGAAATGTTACGTAATTTTAAACGATAGAATTCAATATTGTAAAAATAAAAAATAAAAACTGATAATTTTGGGTTTAGATTGACAAGTGGGACAAGGGGAAACAATTCAAAATGAGAATAATAATAATAATAATCGTAGTAATAAGGGGAAAGTACATAAAATAACTAAATAAACAAAATAAATAGATGTCTATCCCTCTACGGCCAAGGTAGAAGTAGGGATTGTATATACTTCTTTTGTACACAAAGGTGTGGCTGGCTTAAAGTCATGAATTGCTAAGGCCTCAGCTGTCTTTAGAAGTCTGTAACGAAGAAAACGCGGGAAGTTAGCATGGATTCTATATATGATCTTGAAATCATTGTCAGGGTTGACAGAGTGACAGAAGTCGATCAAATGTTCCAGAATAGAGCTTCGCCCATCCTTACTTCCTCCCTTGTAAAACCATGCTGGAATAAGTTCTCGTATCCATGTGTAAAGTGGTGTTCTCTGGCTACGGCCAATGTACCTTGCTCCACAAAGCAGGTGAACTGATAGATGCACATCGAGGCGGCGGGACGGGAAAGCTTATCTTTTACAGAGGTAGAGAACAAATTGCGGCTGGTGGACGTCATATGTAATCTTGCTGAAAAGAACGTCTTACTGACTGATTTAGAGAGACGATTTTTGAGCATATCTGAAGCTTGATCACCTTCAAATTTTATGTTCATGAATAGGGTTTTCTTTGGAACTGAGTCGGTGACCAGTTTACATTGCTTATCTTTCTTGTTGTTGTCAATAAATCGACTAGGGTAACCGTTTTCTGCGAGCGTGGCTTTTTAGAAGTCAAGTTTTGAGTCAACGCAATCAGAAATACAAATGTTCCTTATCCTAAAACATAACGAACGAATTAGGTTCCTTTTCCTGGAGATAGGCATCCAACTATAAAAATTAGTTAGCTGTCGGTTCCATGTACGTTTCCAGTGGATAGGTCTTTTGAGAGATCCGTCATTATGTCTGCTAAGGGACACATCAAGAAACGGAATACTTAGTTTAGATTCCTTTTCTATGGTGAATTGTAAAGAAGGATGGCAGTTGTTGAAAGCAAACAAGACATCATCAAGAATTTGTCAATATCAATACTAAAAATGTAAATAACAACGAATCTATTAATTAATTAATTTCAAGGTTGATACATAAACATTTTTGTGCCTCGACACTGCTTCCCATCTCTGTGATTTACGTTAGAATGGAGTCATAGCATAATGACAGAATATCCACGACAAAATATTAAAGCACAGAGATCCTTAATCAATCGTCATCTATATGCATCTATTCGTATAACATGAAGATAGTGGAATGCACAGCGGTCACAATGCAAAAACCGATGAATCACCTGTTTTACGCATCGATCAATGCTTATTTAGACCACGGTAAAATATGGTAATACCGTGGTCTGAGATTTATTCCTTGAAAGTAAATTATCCCAGATAATGAATCATCAGTAAGGGAAGAAATCTAGACGAAGTCATCTCAGTCGATTACATAAGCAACATTGGCTATACTAAATACCTCACGGATGAGGATTTCAAAGCCAGCTCGGATTGGAAAGCAAAACTGGCATTCATTCATTACTCTGAAATGAATATGGGGATCTGCAGCACTCAGCATACAGAACAAGATCTAAATTTTCAACCCTAAAGTCAAACTGTGATGAGAGCTGTCTGCAAGACAAAATTGTAAACAACAATTTAAGTCAGTGTTTACGTCCCGAATCGGGGTCATGGGAAAAAACAGTAACAAAGCTTAACCTTGACGAGCTCACCAACCAATCACAGGAGACTTAACGTGTACAAATACGATTGGCAGATATATTGCCTGATTTTCTAAGAAACGGTCACGAGTGGCACAGAATAACCTTCAGTAAGAAAACAACCAATCAGAAGACGTTGCTTCTCCGCTAACAATAACGCTAATAATAATGCACCTAAAAATCTGTCAATAGCTCTTGATTTTCTCAATAAACGATCTTTTGCCTGGCCCTTGTCCACTGTCGTTACAAAACGAGTGCTTCTATATATTTCAGAGACTTGGAGCATACATCAACAAATTCCTTTCCAATAGCTTGCTGACAACTGCCTCTTGTCGATACTGAAGGTTGAACCGCTAGTGAGGAAGGATAAGTAACAGAGAAATCTCGCAACAAACTGATCAAGTACTGAATACTCAACAAATATGCTGAGGAAAATGGAAGCGGATTGGATATAATCGCTGTGGATAGCGTTGAGTGATATTTCACATCAAACAGACCACCGGGTTGGAAATGGACAAGAAACAAGCTGTTTAACATGGTGGAGATTGTATTAGAAGGAGGTGGAGCCAGATAATAAGGTTTATGGAGAACAGGATGAAACTTCTATGTGTTTCTGATGCCTTGTGTTCCACTAGGAATCCAAGAGTGCAACAGTGGTGAATCACAGTCATAGTGTTTCACTTTTATTTGATACATTCACACATCTTTCCTAATCGTAGGAAAATGGCACAGAAATTGAACCTTATAACATCATATAGGCACTTATTTATTGATTATTTCTCTCTCCACTGGTAATAATTCTCATGAATTCATTCATCCATTACTTATTTTCTGTGTTATTCAGAAGATGGACTCGTCTGTATTCATGTTCTGCGTATTCTACCGTTTGATTCACAACGTAAACGAATGTCTATTCTATTTCGTCATCCATACACTAAAGAAGCAATATTATTTACAAAAGGTGCAGATTCTTCGATTATGAATCGTTTGAATACAACTGGTAAGTTAAAAAATTAAAATTAGCCAAATTGAAAGCAACTGTTTGCTTTATTTTGAAGCAGTTCTTTTTTTAATTGTGTTAGGACGGAAAAGCTTCTTTATTAGTTGTGGGTTTCCAATTTAAACATGTTCTGGTCAGAGTTCTGTATCCAGTGCATCCTTTAATCTCTCCAGGATAATACGACTCGGGATTTTACTTGGCGTCGACAGGAGTATGATTCCTCGCCAGTTTTGCAGAGTCCTAAGTCGCCCTTCATTGGTAGTTCCACGAGGTAACCTTTCCTCCAGTCAGTAGGCACCTTTACCTCCTTTCAGAGCTTTTGCAATAGTGGAGTCAGTATATCTGCTGTAGTCTCTGGGTCCGCTTTTAGTGCTTCAGGGGGTATTCCATCTGGTCCAGCTGCTTTTCGAGCTTTCAGAAGCTTAATTGTATTCAAGACTTCAGCTCTCGTTGGGGGATTGGTGTCAACTTGCAGTTGTGTGCGCGCTGTTGTTGGTATTTCTGGACGGGTTGCAGGTGATGGTCGGTTCAAGAGTCCTTTGCAGTGCTCCGCCCATCGTTTAATCTGTTTTTCTTCCTTGGTGATTGGGTTCCCTTGGCTGTCTTTTATACGTTTCACTTGTGTTGATCTCCCGGATAGAGATTTGGTTATCTGATATAGCGTCCTCGGGTCCGTTTTGCCTGCTGCCTTCTCAGCTTCAGTGGAGAGGTTGTCGTAGAATTGTCTTTTGTCCTTCGTAGCACTCTTCTTCACTTCTTTGTCCAGTGCTGTCTGTCTGTCTGTTTTAGACATAGAACTTTGCACAAATGTGAGGAAGTTCAAGTCGCCACACTCCGTGTAGCACGCGAAGCAAGAGAAGAAAGTATAGGAAAAGCATAATAGAGACAGTAAGCAGAGGTCTGAGACAAAGGAGTAATAACGGAGAACAAAACAGTTTCATTGGAGATCATAAGTCACAAGGAGTGGATGCATCTGCGCCACTGAGAACGATGAGTTTGAGCCATGTCACCAATTGTTTCCAACCATAGATTTTTACCGTCCCGAGGACCCCAACCAGTCAGGAAGTCTACACCTTCCTACGTGGCTTAGACCAACTGTTGTAGATTTCATTGACTGGTGAAGCCATGTTTTGGTTTGACCTCCGCTAGCTTTTTTCCAGCCTGACCCTATGTCAGTCAGCTAACCTTGCCCGTCGAGGAAGGCGATGGCTTGGCATACGTAACACATGTCCTAACCATCTCAGTCTTTGTAACTTCACGACTTCGTCGATTGATTTCCCCTGTTTACCTAGAACTCTACGCCTAACCTCAATGTTGCTCACCTTATTATGCCACTTTACACGGGAAATAGAGCGCAGGCACCTATGATCAAAGACAACTAGCCGGGTTTTCATGTCTTCCACTCTCAGTGGCCAGGTCTTACAACCATAAAGGAGGATGGAGCGGACTGATGAGCAGTACACCCGCCTTTTGGTCGATAGTCGAACATGTCGTCTACGCCAGAGTCGGCGTAAACTGGCAAATGCGAAACTAGCCCCCTGTATCCGTATTTTTCAGAGATTTCATCAGAGATCAACCCGTTGGCGCTGGCTGATGATACTTCCCAAATAAGTGAAGCGGTCAACGTGCTCTACGACTTCACTTCCTATTTTTAAACTAGGCGTCGATGTAGTCCAGTCCTGTAACATCATCTTGCATTTGGCGGGAGCGAATCGCATGCCAAACATTCGTAGATTACAGCTCAAGGTGTTTAGAAGACTGTGCATTTCGTGAGCGTCCTCGTCTAGAAGGACTATATCGTCTGCATATTCCAAGTCAACAAGATTATTCCCCGGTAGCAAGTCAATCCCTGAATCGCTGAAGTTATCTAGGGTTAAGTCCATTAACACATCTATGATGAAGTTGAATAGAAAAGGAGATAATGGGCATTCTTGACGGACACCACTGGTCGTCACCAGTTCAGATGACAGCTCGCTGTAAGCCCTCACCTGGCTGTATGATTACGAGTCCAGTGCTGTGTAAGTTGAGTTCAGCGTCTCCTTCTCCTGTCCGTCCTTGCATTGAATCATTTTCTCTTTCACCATTCTCCTCTCTTCCATTAATTTCCAAGTGTCCGTTGAGAGCCATTCCCTGTCTTGTCTCTTCTTTCTTCCTTCGTAGAACCGTTGAACACGTTTCGTTGAGAATCGCTTTCAGAGACTTCCAATGTTCTTCCACGCATGATTCTTCAGTGATGTCGTGTAGTGTTTCCTGCTTCACTCAGACAGTTGCAGTGAAAGTGTCTCTTGTGGTTGTGTCCTTCAGTAATTGAGTGTGGAACTTGCATTGCGGATCCAAGCTGGATTCAGAAAAGGCAAATCATGTACTGACCAAATTGCAACTCTACGCATCATCATCACAGAACAAAGTGTGGAATGGAAATCAAACCTCTACCTCAACTTTATAGACTTTGAAAAGGCCTTCGACAGCGTTGATCGTGAAGCAATTTGGAAATTACTCGAGTACTACGGCGTACCCCAAATATTCATCAACCTTATTCAACAGCTGTAAGACAACGGCACATGTCAAGTCATCCACAGCGGAAAAATCAGCGAGACGTTTGGAGTAAACACAGGAGTCAGACAAGGGTGCTTATTATCACCAATGATATTCCTGATTGTGGTGGATTGACTGGATTATGCGTCAGACAGTGAGTGGGAAACGAGAAGACAGGGATATCCTGTCTGGACCGACGTGAAGAACTTAGAAGACCTGGATTTCGCGCGTGGATGATTTATGTTTGATGTCACACAAAATCGGAAATGTACTAGGGTAAACCGACCGACAAACTGGTCGAAGAAGCAGACAGTGAAGACAGGACTCCAGGTGAACATAGACACGACGGAGGTGATGAAAATAATCAACCAACAACAACAGCAACATCCAGCCCCAATCATCATCAACGGGAGGGATTTGAAAGAGGTAACTTCATTCACTCACTTATCTAGGGAGCATTGTCTCAACTACAGCCAGCCAGAACGGACAAGAATGTCAAATCGGGCGAGAATCGGGAAGGCGAGAAACACATTCATTCATCAACCTGACACCAATCTGGAAATCTTCGTCACTCAGTCAGAATCAACAGCGAAATTCGGTCGGATTTTCAATACAAACGTCAAGTCAGTCAGTTCTTCTTTCTATTCGGATGAGAAACTTGGCGGGCGGGTCACAAAGAATATTTTCAACAGCCTGTTGCATGCAGACCTATATCAACCAACAACTTTCTTCGCTGGATCTATACTGAAGATCAGATGGCCGGGTCGGGCCGGAAAGAATCACCAACAAGAAACTATGGCTGGGAACAAACAAAATAAGAACGAATCGCCAGCCAACAAATATGCAGGGGAAAGTGGAGATGGATTGGACATTCGTTCGCTGAGGAGGCCGCTGTGTGACATCGCGCGTCAAGCCCTTGAGTGGAACCTGAAAGGGAAGCGGCGTGTGGGACGTCACATTGAGGGTGACATGGAGGAGATCGTGTGAAGAGGAGTTGAAACAGTATTTATGGACTAACATGGATGCAGGTGAAAAGCACAGCAGAAGACAGAAGTGGCAAGTGGAAACGTGAATTTGAAGCCCTATGTTCCACTAAGAACCCAAGGGAGCAATAATAATAATTTAAACATGTACTGACGTGATGTGCTTATTGGTTAGTTTTGATTCGTCCACTTATGGCTTAAATTTCTGAGAGTCTGGTAAACATAATATCCCATGTATTTTATCTAATAAAGGTTGTCATATCGGTCGTCGCTTTTCTTAGCCTGACTTTTGTATCTCATTGTTGGAGATATTTTCAAATGTTCATTTGGTCATACTGTTGTGTTCTGAAGTCTCTACCAAATCAAGGTAAATGAAGCCACTATCTACCTCGCAATAAAAGTTCCCTCCTATTTCAGAACGTCTTGCCTATGTCTAATTAGTATCAAGATGGCAGGGGATTGGTGTCTGAAAATCAATCTTTAGAGACTTTGAAAAAATAATAATAAAAGCAGCTTTATTCTGGAACAAATGATTGCGTATTGTTCAGAATTCTCATCGCAACTTATTGCATAATGGTTTCTCTTCGTCCAGGATCTTCGAGTAAAACAGCAGTGTATAGTATATCACGTGAGTCAGTACTGTTGGATCTGTAGCATACACCAATCCCTATTGGGTGTTTTCTCTTGTCTCAGAGAAATGCACACTAGCGTTATGAAAGCCGATTACAATTATGTGTGGGTAATTTTTGCGATTCAAAGACATAATTAAATGGTTCGAGGGAATAGTGTTGGATGGCAGTTTAAGTAGCTTGGTGAATTAAGCAGGACCAAAATTGTTTGCAATGTCTGCAGTGAGGAAAACTGACTCGTTGTAGTCCGACGCATGAAATTGATCTCTATGTCTTACTGTATAGCCAACAAAACTTACTTAAGACATATGCAGTCACGAAACGCACCAAAGACAGGAAAAATACAACTATTCTTCAATAGTTTGCAATCTTCAATGAACGAAATATTCCCATATTGAGTCATAAGAAAAAGACACAAACAGCGAAGAAAATCTTCTTTTCGACGATTCATTTTCATGAGCTGCACAATTGTAATTATAATTAACACAGAAATCTTTAGACCAATCAGATACTGGTAAATTTTGTCCTTGAAAAATTGTATTACATAATGTAAGGTATAAGAAGGGATGACTAATTGTAAGTTAGAAAGTAGACAGAAGTTGGCATATCTTAACAAGAGTGAGATAATGACTAATCAATAAGCTCGTGTAGAATGGACAGGAACTAGTGGGAAGGCGATAAAGTGTTTTTGTATAAAATCTGTATGAAAAAGCAATGTTATTAATAAACAGTAATAGAGTGGTAGTAAAATGTGGATGATGGAAATAATAATGATAATAAAAGTATTAAGAACAATAAAATAATAGTAAGAATAGTGAACTTACATAATAGAAGAAAGAAACAAAATTGTAGTAAGTACTTTACGCTGGCCATGGTAGGGCAGGAGAATGTATGTATCACTTTTGAATGCAGAGGTGCGGTTTCAGATCTCGAATAGCTAATGCTTCAGGTATGTACAGATGGAGTATCCGAAGTCCCTTTGTACGATATTGAGGGACTCTGTGTAACACTGTGAAGCATTCCTGCGAGTGGGGTGCTCGATGTCTGGAGATGACAAGATGTTCGTCCAAAACTCAAAATTACCTCAACAGTGCCTTTGGATGGCTATAGAGTCCAGTCTAAGTACAAAATGAGCACGTAGAATCCAGTAGAATATTCCCTAAAAAGTTGGGACCAAAAACTCTGCTCACAAGAATCAAACACACCGACTTTTCCCGCCGACAGTACAAAGTCACAAATGGCCATCATTCACGCAAACAAGATCATATCGTTCAACACATTATCAATGTACATATAACCACAAAGAAAAAAAACAATAATACTAGAGATTAAACAATAATAATAATATAATCACTTTATTCCACAACAATAACAATTTACAGCATGGAATTTTCAGCGTAATAAGGATCAAGTCAACAGATGATACGTGAGCATCAGAACAATGATACACAGTCTAGGAAAGGAAACGGATAATTATTGCAAAGTTAGATGCAACGTCCAATTAAAACCAAACATTGTGATTAAATCGTCCAGGAGAGATTTTCCGTTACAGTACTACTGTGGTGAGAGCTGGCTGCTAGCCAAAGTTGGCAGCCAGTAATTTACGTCAATGTTTGCGTTCTCAATATTGGTCATGAGAACAAAAATAAGAATAAAGACTGTCTCAACAACACAACAATCACAGCAGACTTTGCGTAGGCGGATAGAATTTGCAGTTAGATAATCTGAACTTCGAGAAACGGTCACAAAGAGATGAAAGATTAACATTCAGTGAGAAACCACCAATCAGAATACTTTGTTTGTTTGCTAACAATAATCTATACTAATGTACATCAAACTCCGAATATCTGTTAATTTCCTAAATAAACGATCTGTTTGACTGGCCCTTGTCTTCTGTCGTTACACTACAGATGTATTCATCACTCCCTATTATTTTCCAAATTCTAAAACTACTCAACTTAACTTGTGTTCCTCTGGAGTGTGGTGACTTTTTTACAGGTGCCGTTTTGTACAAATCTCCACGTTGACAATTTATGTCGCTTTAAGGGTTTTATGACTAATTGACCTCTTCACCTCAAGATCCTTATAGTTTAAGACTAAATCTTCCATAGGTTTGAGAGGACACTTCTTCATGTGATTCAGATAATACTGGTAACAAGAAATTCTAATGTTTCAATTCTAGTTTGTAGTGACAGAACTGATTAAATTTTTTCTAAATATATGCATATATTAACAAGTATTGATTTCATTCCTTTCTCTCACTGTCTCTTTCCCGTTTTGTTCAAGAGTTAAATTCACGTGAAGTTATTACTGCTACAAAAGAACATATTGAACAGTATTCACGTGTGGGTTTACGAACTTTAGTTATAGCCGAAAGAGTAAGTAGTCCAATGCCTTCACAATTGTATCTTAAATTGTGTCTGGCGTTTCCTCTTCTTTGGACTCATACTTTCAGTATTTTTAATGACAATGTTTTTTTTTAAAGAAATCAATAAGATCTTCTATGTTATGGTCTTGGAATTGAATTGTAAAATAGGACACATAAACCCTTTAATATTGTTACAATAACAATAGCGATAATAAAGACAATAGTGGACAATGATAAGAAAAGTATAAGCAGTTGGTCTAGGTAGTGGCTATCGACCGTCGTCAATAAGCAGAGGAGAAGAAGCACTTTCTAGGTTATCTCTTGCATTCCATCAAACCTTTTCAACAGAATTCAAACTCATTTTCAACGCATAGGTATAATTATGAGAATTCAAAAACGACAATCCTAGTTTTTGTATAGAAATTTAAGTGTGTTCTATCTTTGTGTCTTCATTAACTTAAGTAAATCTAATGCAAGATATTTATGACTTCCTACCCTTTCGTAATCTTTGCATATTTTGCATTTTTATATTTTTGAGTATTGGTTTTTGTAGGGATTTTGTTTGACTGGCTGGAGGATTTCATCATGACCTGAAATCGGTTAGAGAGAACCATTGGAAAACCTGCAGGGAGTACTGGACATCTGTTAATGACACCATCCTCTAAACAATCAAAAAAAAAATCCCTACAAACCAATACTTGAAAATTGGTCTGATGTTCACTGGTGACTGGTCCTACTCAAGCGGTGACCTACGGTTCTAGTAGGAAGTCATGATTTCTAGTGTTCACTAGGTCGAAGGTGAAGACAGTTACCCACCGAAGGCATTGCTAAGTGGTTGCGCTATGTTGTGAATAGGCAGAAGTTAGAATTTATGACCTGGCCATTGGACCGAGTCCCAGTGACTTCATAGTCTACGAGCTAATCGGCCTTGTAATCGGAAGGCTCTGGGTTCGAGTCCTAGCGGTGGGTTCGTAATAATGAAGAATCCTAAATTAGGACGAAACAGCTGTCCAGTACTCCCACTTTTATATTTATTTAAAGTTCAACTATATATTTATCCCCTTCATTCTTAGTGTTATGCAACTTCTGATTTTATAAAATTTTGAACGTTTAATTATTGAGATGTGTATGTAATCATTATTCTTAACACCATCTGCATCAACTACCTGTACTTTTTGTGACCTTCATTGATCTTTTTTACGAATCGATAACTTTCAATTTACCCTTTCGGAATATAATATTCAGCGAAGACTCTTTTCAACGAATTTATTATCAAGCTGTACAATCATACATATATATATATATATATACATGTATATATATATGGGTTTTTTGAAGAAATTATATCCGGTGAGAGAATTAGATCAAAGGTGTGAATAAATAGAAATAATAATACTAGCATGAAATGTAATTAAAACATCTTTGATTTTAATCATAGTTAAGTTTCAAGACGCAAAACAAATAATGTTATATAAGGAATAATTCATAGGGTGTATAGATGTTGGAAAGAGGTGTGTAATAATTAAAAGATTAGTGGGCAAATAGAAAACGTTACATAACATGACGTGAAGTTCGACAAGATAGAATGGCAACCGTGATAAGTGATATAATACCGGAAATTGTTCAGAGTGATGATGATGATAATAATAATAATAGTAACCGTATTCGTAATAATAAGGTAAAGTTACATAGATTAACTAAATAAACAAAATGTAAAATAAATAAATAAGTGTTTATACCATTACGGCCAAGGTATAAGTAGGGACTGTCCATACTTGTTTTGTACACAAAGATCTGGCTTGAACTCATGAACTGCTGAAGCCTCTGTTGTCTTTAAAAGTTTATAACGGAGAAAACGCGGCAAGTTAGTATGAATTCGATAGATGATCTTAAAATCATGATCAGGGTTGGTAGAGGGGCAGAAGTCGATCCGGTGTTCTAGAATACAGCTCCGCTCACCCTTCCTTTCTGCCTTGTAAAAACATGCTGGAATATGTTCCCGTATACGCGTTGAAAGAGCTTTCCCTGCTATTGCCAATGTATCTTTCCCCACAAGATCATATGAACTAACAGACGCACATGGAGGTGGCCAAACAATGGAGCTTATATTTTAAAGGGACGAAGGACAGCTGACGGCTGGTGAAGGTCATTTGTAATTTCATAGCAAAGAACGTCTTAGTGACTGATTTAGATAGACGATTTTTGAGCCTGTCTGACGCCTGATCACCTCTGGATTGCAAATTTATTTATTTATTTTTTGACCCACAATTTCACAGTTTCTGGTTTCAAAAATCTCAGCGTAAATTATGATTGTGTCGAATGTTTATTTGCATGCAACAAACAGTTTACTCACAGGAGTCCTTGTTCTGATGGCGTAAATCTTGCAAGTTAACTAATTCCATCTTAAGGACTAAGCTGTGATGTATATGAACAAATCATGCATAAAAGACGTTCTATTTCGCTTTTATTCTTGTCTAGTCAATTGTTATCAGGTAAAGGGAAGGTAAATGTTGTGGACAATTTAGACAATATTGTTAATGTGTGATTGATATGTGCATGGGTTGTTCTTACATATATCTTAATTTAATCACCGAAAAGGTCTATGGATTGAGACAATATAACTTGTGTACCAACAGATATAGGAACAGTGGGTTGGCTTTTGAATTCCGCTTCTTATTCATAAGGAATTATTTTTAATTTCACACTCAGCAACATTAGCAATTAATCAGAAATCTCTAAAAGACCATAATATGCTAGATTTCTTCTCTCACTTAGTAAGCGGCTAACTAGAATGCGTTATACACAAATTAGACTCTTTTATTGGACCCTAGGTAGTGACTGGCGTCATGTGTCTAATCTTTCCTTTGGTGTAGACTGAATTCTATCAGTCAAGTTCACGATTTGGCCACCATGCTAGGTGGCTTACCACGACCGTGCATTCTGAATGGTTGTTATCAGGTGGTGGAAGGTATTCGGTAAGATACCTTCGATCTAGGCTTCATGCTTGTTGACACTCGTCGGCGAGGCGTATATTGGTAACATCGTTTACTTCAGCAACGGATAACACTTGACTGAATCTCAGAGGGTACACGAACTCATTGAAGACTGAAGATAGATAGGTCTTGTTGACGACAGCCAATAAGCTTAAAACATGTGTCTAAGGATTGTTGCCGATTGCCTCTATGCATTTAACAAACTGGATTCTTATTATCATTATGTGCGTTAGTGGCACAGCTGTAGAATGCTCGTCAACCACTCAGTTGGTTGAAGGTTAGATCCCCAGCCGACTCACTCCTCTATTACCTCGCTAACCAGCAATAAGACTGGTAAAGAGGAAAGGTTGAGCATGAGTCTAGCAACCTCATTCCGTAAAAATAAACACCACTTACTACCGAAACTTCAAGCCTCCAGCTTGAAGCAACCCTATGTTCCACTGAGAACATAAAAGAATAATATAATAAATTATCGTTATAGTGACGAGAAACTTATTATTCTTGATCAAAACAATGACATTTTAGTTTAAAAACATTTCCAAACAGATTGTACCTAGTAAGGATAATATACAGTCGACTAACCATCATTACTCAAGCATTAATAAATAACAACTGATTTCCACTGGGTAAGAAGTGTTTCAACATTCTTGGGTACATTTCTTTGAGGTTTGAAACGACAGGGGAATCACAACAACTGCTGAATTGACAGATGTATCTAGAGGTGATCTGCCTAAGAAGTATTTCATCTGCCTACTTCATTGTCATTATCAGAAGTGTTGAAGACATGAATTATAAGCCTTCTGGCATTTAAAGTTCTCTATGTCTACTTTGTTAACTGCTTAATTAATTAGTAACTCACTAGATACAGAGCGTCTAAATTTTACTCACGTGTAGACTGAATTCTTATTCTTAGATGCAATACATGTCTATTATTATTATTATTATTATTATTATATCCTGTAATTCCTAGAGGAACATAGGGCTTCAGCTGCACGTCTCCATTGCCTTCTGTTTCCTGCCAACTTTTTCACTCTGCTCCAAGTCTGCCCACATGCTTTCACCTCCCCTTCACATGACCTCCTTTAAGTCACACTTGCACTGACGACCAACTCGCCGCTTCCTTTTCGGGTTCCACTCGAGGGCTTGTCTAGTGATGTCACTTGATGGATTGTTTCCTCAGTGTATGGCCAATCCATCTCCATTTCTTCTTGCCTATTTGTTTCGCAATCGGTTCCCGGTTGATTTGCTCCCAGAGATCTTTGTTCCTGATCTTTTCTAGCCATCTGATCTTGTTTACTCTACTTTACTACTGTCTCTTTAAAAAGTTATTTTCTACACTCATAACTGATTTGCATAAACTGTTTTCTTCATTATAGCTACTATCCGAGGAAGAACTTAATCAATGGCTTAAAGAAGTATATGAAATTGAAACTGGTAGTGAGGATCCAACAGAAGCTATGCAAATTCTGATGGATAAGTTAGAGAGTAATTTCATTCTCTTAGGTAAGAAAGAGCATAGATTTTTACTTTTATTTTTCATAATAGTAGTTTATTCTTTCAAGATGACATATGCATCAGTGGTCGAATGATAGAATGCTAAACAGGCATGCGGGCTGGATGGCTGGCTGGCTTCGATTCCAGGCCGACCCACACCAATGTACCAAAGACTTCGATAATAAAATATTACTGTGTACGGCAGACATGATACTGAACATTGTCAGTGGGCAAACAGCTGTAAAGATGCTTGAATTTACAGAAGCTTATTCGATTAGAGTCTAGAAACCTGGTCTTTATGTACAGAAAGATGTGTTGGTGGTACAGCAGTAAACTGTAACTGCCAGCCACGTATGTGGTGTGAGGTTTGATTTCTGGTTAATAAACTCCTAAACCCCGCATAGTTTACCAGATTGCCGAGATAAGAGGGGAGATTAAGCTTGAGGGTAGTTACTTTATCCCACCAAAAAAAAATAGTAACTCTATTGAAACTTCAGAGCTCGTGCTTGAAGCCTTATAATCTAAACGAAAAACAAAGAAATCGAAGATTATTGCGTGCAGAAGGAAATGGTGATCACTGTGCCGACCAAAACCCAAGTATTTCTGTCTGAATACAGGGAATCAATCGACACGTTTTTCTGTATAGCTTACTAAACTTCAGAGAGTGACTCACAGTCCTAAAATGTCTTGATGTCATAACATATTAAAATTGCCTCAATATTACCATTAGATATGCATGTAGTCAAAGAATTTCTCAAGTACAAAATAAACAGAATATTTTTCCAACTAGGTGGGATAAAAACTTTCCCGGTAAGAATTAAACACCCACAAAACACTTCCTGTTGATAGTACACGGTCGAAGTCATCATGGCATAACCTTGAATTCTTTCGGAGAAAATCACAATCGTCAACAGTCTGCCATCATCTAATAGTTAAGCGAAATGATAAGAATAGGAAAAGTAAGGATTACTGCTTAAGTGCTGGTTTGCAGGGATTTGATTGATTTCAGGATTTCATCATGATCTGACATCGGCATAAGAGGATCACTGGAAAACCTGTGTCTGTCTGTCTGTCTGTTTTCGACATAGAACTTTGCACAAATGTACGGAAGTTCAAGTCGCCACATTCCGTGTAGCACGCGAAGCAAGAGAAGAAAGTACAAGAAAAGCATAATAGAAACAGTGAGCAGAGGTGTGAGACAAAGGAGTAATAAAGAAATACAAAACAGTTTCATTGAAGATCATAAGTCACAGGGAGTGGATGCATCTGCGCCACTGAGAACGATGAGTTTGAGCCATGTCACCAATTGTTTCCAACCATAGATTTTTACCGTCCCGAGGACCCCAGCCTGGAAGTCTACACCTTTCTACGTGGCTTAGACCAACTGTTGTGGATTTCATTGACTGATGCCAAGTTTTTGTTTGACCGCCGCTAGCTTTTTTCCAGCCTGACCCTATATCCGCTAACATTGCTCTTCGGTCGAGGGAGGCGATGGCTTGGCATACGTAACACATGTCCTAACCATCTCAGTCTTTGTAACTTCACGACTTCGTCGATTGATTTCCCCTGTTTACCTAGAACTCTACGCCTAACCTCAATGTTGCTCACCTTATTATGCCACTTTACACGGGAAATAGAGCGCAGGCACCTATGATCAAAGACAACTAGCCGGGTTTTCATGTCTTCCACTCTCAGTGGCCAGGTCTTACAACCATAAAGGAGGACGGAGCGGACTGATGAGCAGTATACCCGCCTTTTGGTTGATAGTCGAACATGTCGTCTACGCCAGAGTCGGCGTAAACTGGCAAATGCAAAACTAGCCCCCTGTATCCGTACAGAGATTTCATCAGAGATCAGCCCGTTGGGGCTGATGGTGCTTCCCAAATAAGTGAAGCGGTCAACGTCCTGTGAGTATTGGACAACTGTTTCATCTTAGTTTGGAACTCGCCATCAGTGAGCACTCACTGAGGTCCCGAACCCAGGACCTTCTGATTACAAGGCCATCCTGTAGACCACTGGGACCCAATCCAAGGGAAAATATGTCATACGTTGAAACGGTGATACACAGGTCAAGGAATAAAGGAGAATAATAACACAAGTAATTAGAAAAAATATACAGTTAAGGAAGAATCTTGTGAACACATTGTCCTGGAGGAATTTTCTAATCAATTATTTCGCTAATAATTACCTGTAATCTGGTATGGTGACATTTTTTTATTTTGTTGGCTGTTATTAGCACGATTTTATTTTATTTCATCTATGTGATTATTTTTATGTTGGTTAACAGGTATCTCTTCTCATTACGATTATCTTAATTCGTTTCACTGTTGTTATTATTATTCATTTTCAAGAGATAGTACGTTGGGATTTGGTTTGTTCGCAGTTTGACCACAGATTGATATCAGTTAGAGAACCATTGAAAGCCACCAGGAAGGATAACTGTTTCGTCCCAGTTTGGGCGTCGTCGGGAGTACACACCCATTGGGATTTGAACCCAGGACCTTCAGGTTATAAGTCAAGCTTGTAGACTACTCAGCCGCCACTGGAACCCAACACTTAAAAACTGCTAATATTCTCAGGTCCTCTCTGATAATTATTTGTTAGTTATAGTGACGTAACTGAACCATTTTGAGTATTCTTATCTTTCCTAAAGAATAAACAACTTCCGGATATCATAACTAAGTGTGTGTTTATTTTGATTGGACAGTTAATGGCAACTAATGTCATTCATTTAGGGCAGAATAGATTCTGTCAGTTAGTTTTTCTACTATGCTAGGCGGCTGGCCATCATGGTGTACGCTGATTTGCTGCTACTAGATAGTTGGAGGCCTTGGATCTGTGTTTCGCACTTGTTGTTACTCATCAGCAAGGCGTATGTGCAATCTTGGAGGAACTCCTGTTCTTTTTGGGATTCTAACCCGGGACGCCGAGTGCCGTAGTCAGAGACGTTATCAACTGGCTATTCGGGCTGTCAATCGTCCTCATGTAGGACTGTAATTGATGCACTCATTTGTCATGAAGGAGTTACCAATATTCGCAACGTGGTCACATACACAGACTGGTCGGATTCAGTCCGTACAAAACGAAGGATCAGAGGTACGGCGTTGGTAACTCTCTAGTGTCAAGTCGAAGTATTCATTACAATCTTATAGGAGGACGGCCGGGAGCTCATTGGTAACTTTTCTGACTGTAGCACTGAATGATGTGGGCTCGAATCTCAAGAAAAGGCCAGAATTTCTTCAAGATTTCAGATAACATCTTATCGGTGAATGTCAACAAGCACAAATTCTACGTCGGGGGTCTTCCTGTCGATTACCTCCAACTATCTAATAATAATAACAAAAATTCCAAGTCTATATATCTTTGATGAGTTGTGTGTGATTCGTAACTTTTCTACGTTTACAATATTTCAGGATCAATCTCTTTTAGCGTATAGTTCACATCTCCAATCACATAACTTTAAATTCTTCTTAATTGTATAATTAATTATATTGCCCTTTTTCTTTCTGATTTACTCTTTGTTTTTAACCTAGGCGCAACCGGTATTGAAGATCGTTTACAAGATGGTGTACCGGAAACTATTGGAGCATTACGTGAAGCTGGTATGCATGTTTGGGTGTTGACAGGTGATAAACAAGAGACCGCTGTTAATATTGCTCGTTCAGCTAACCTAATTACATCACAGCATAAAATAATGTACATAAATGCACATTCAGAGGTACACAGTTATAGTTATTGCTTTTAATTATATATCAAGTTATTCATTTAACCTCTTAGTTTACTTTTTGTAGAGTAATTCTGTCTTGTTTTCGTCTAAAAGTTATATCAATTAGTTTCACTGTGTATTATAGAATATGAAATAAATTGCTGTATGACATTATCCAAATTCTACACTGACATTTCAGTGTGGAGACGTTTGTACTGAGGTAGAGAACTTCAAGCTAGGTTACTTGACGAAGTGATGAAATAAATGCGTAAAAACTACAACGAACAGAAAAATGTGAGAATAATCAAGTGGATCCGGGAGATCACGAATAGTGAATGCACTGGGGGCACTGAGAAATGTTTTGAACTTAGGCACCAACAGTCTCTAGCCACTGATTCCTTGAGTTCAGGGGATCGCAGTAAAGCAGTTAACACGTCTGTGCTGGTTTGCAGGGATTTGATTAGCTGCGGGTTTGATCACCAGATGACATCAGTTAGAGAACCAGAGAGTAGTGGACAGCCTTTTTATTCTAGTTTCGGGTGCTTCTTTGGTACACACCCGCGGGGGTTCGAACTCAGGACCATGAGGTTGGAAGACGACGACGTCGTCGTAGACAATTTCGTCATTGGGACGTGATGCCAAGATAGAGACAAAACAGCTGTCCAGTACTCCCAGGTTTTCCTATCGTTGTTTAACTGGTGTTTGCTCGTGATCAAACCTGTAACCACCAGTCGAAGCCTCCGAACAGCTTATTCTTTGTTCGGTTGAAAACATTCCCACAAATTACCGAACAAAGAACATTCTCACTTTATTTTCCCATTGATTGATTGAATTTGAATTTTCAACTGCTATTAACATGTCGGCTGCCAGTACAGTCGCTTCGACAACGTCTAAGGACTAACGTCATGTTATTCACTGGATGGTGACTGAAACTTACTGGATTGTCTTAATGGAAAGCACCTGGACGTATGAAACAAAGAGTGCCGGGTTTAAATCTCACAGGGTGACAGCATTACTCACTGAGGATTGCAAGCACGTCCAGCAGGCGATTCTCCATTAGGATAAATATGCATCCTAGATTTCACTGCCGTTCACCGTCCACCATTCTCTTTTCAATGACTCTCTCTTTCTCCCTTCGATTTCTACTGATGAAAATTGTTTGATTATTGTTAGATCTAATTGTACATTATTGCACATAAATCTTTTTCTAACTGATATGTATATACAAAGGCACCTTCATCTGGTAATCTTTACTTCCTAGACAGTACTTTTAGGAATATCTATTTTAGAAATTCAAAGTTAATATTTTACTGTTGCTATACATCGATGGTTTAATGATAGAATGCTCGGCGTTTACACATTTGCTCAAGCTTCGATTTCCAGTCAAGGCATACTTAAGCCTCGGGTTCAGACAGTGTTAAGCCTGGCAAAAGGGAGAAGATTGTGAGGCTAACACCGCCAGTACTTTTGAAACTTGAAAACTCAAGCATGAAGCATCGTATTCTACTCGGAGGGCAGTGTCGTGGGTGATGATTGAAGGTGAAATGGTGACCTGATTGACTGACTGTTTTGTCTCATAGCGAACTTACTAGTAACTTGGAGGTCACTGATTTGAATGTTGATGTGACCCAGAGTTTCATTTTATCTGTCAAGCTAATCATTATCTCAAATAGTCTTACCATCAAAGATATATATTAATGCTAATCTCTTCTCTCCTTCTTCTTTTCTTTGATTTTTTTTTCGGCTTCTAGGCGCGTATAGAATATCTGTTAAACTCATATTTATATGGCGTATTGAGTGGTCAATTTCATGATGCCTTAGACGAATTTGATGATATGCTTGAAAAGGTGACCAATCCACGTTATTCTGAAATTCAACGATACTGTCAAAGACACTGTAGACATGATCAAAAAGTAAAAAAACTTTCAAAGAAATTTCGTTCAACTTCACATTCACCACATCGTGGTCGAACACGTCATCGTGTACGTTATACCAGTACACCGAAACCGTCTTCATTACCTCGAAATATAACTTATTTTCATGAGAATGACTATTATAACAAGAAGAAACCTTTACTAAAGGATAAAATATGCTTTAATTTATCAAAATTAATTGAATATTATCGTTTGTTTAAACGTAGATATCTACGGCATACGAGAAGGCAAAGAAGAAGAAGAAGACAATCTAGTCAGAGAAGGTATACGCGGGCAAATAGTACTATCGGGTATAAAATACAATTTGCCTTGGTAATTGATGGAGAAAGTTTAAATTATGTCTTGAATGATGAGAAGAATCGATCACGTTTTATCAAGTTAACTGAAATGTGTACAAATGTTATATGTTGTAGAACAACACCCGGGCAAAAAGTAAATCTGTTTTTAATTTGTTGCCTGTTATCTAGTATTTTCTATTCGAGTGTTGGTTTCAGAATTTTATCATAAACTGACATCGGTTTATGGACTATTGGAAAACCTTGGAGTACTTGACAACTGTTTTGTCCTAGTTTGGGGCCCTTCAACAGCACGTGCCCACTGAGGTTTCAACCAAAGACCATCCCGGTTACAAGGCTAGTTCATAGACCATTCAGCCACTGGGACCCAATCCAATGGCCAGTCCATGAATTCCAACTTCTGTCAACTCATGACATGGCATGACCACTACTATTTTGCTTAAATTCTTCTGAAATCTATTCATATTTATTGGTAATTTCAATCCAGGTAGCACTAGATTGTTTTATATCCCGAAGTGACAAAGGTTAGAATTAATGGGACTATGTGGCTGAACAGTCAACAAGCTGGTCTCTTCATCTCTGAAGATCCTGGCTTCAGTCTCTTGAGGAGTTTTGTGGTGGCTGCTTCTCGCTGCCGACGATTCCTTAACAAGAATGAAATAGCTGTCCACTGCTTACTGTTTTTTCAATGATTTTCCAAATGATATTGGTCCGTGACAAAATCCACATTGAAACTAATTCAAATTAAGAGTCAATCTGAACGAAGAATATTCATTTCCATACATCCTTCTCTTCAGGTTCTTACAATCACAAAATATAATATTTTTTGTCGTTATAATAATGCCCAGTTATGTGGTGGATACACTTTTTTTAAACGTAGAATAACTGATTAGTAGTTATGGCGCGTCAAAATAAATAGTCGTACTTATGTGACAAACGTGCTAGGCTGAAATCGATTGCAAAATATTGTAAAATGGGAGACAGTGGTGGTGATTAGTCATAACAGATTAGTAGAATGTGGGTTAGGAAAAAACTGATAAGTCAGTTCAAGGTTATAAAAGGTGTCAGATGAGTGAGTGGCTTGTACAAAGCAACATGTCTGCAATGAGAAGTTCATCATGAAATAATCAATGTGTGAAATGAAACAGGTGGAGGCATATATTGAGAAAATATATAATATAAATATAAATCGAAAATTCACTAGTACTGACAGAATGTTCCAATGAAGGGTGTAAATTATATCGAATAATGGTAATTGTATAAATGAGCAAAGCAAAAGAAAAAATCGCATGATAGATAAGGGGAAGGGCTATTCTTGATTAGAAGAAGAAACTTTAATCCAAGTTTGGCCATGGTAGGAAGAACGCCTGAATGTGTTATTGTTGGATACAAAATTCCGGTTCAGTTGATCTTATCGCAACAGCTTCAGTTTTGTGTAGGAGACGTAAGCGAACTGTACGTGATAATGACTTCTGAATTCAGTATATAACCCTGAAGGCTGTTTCGGTATCGATACTATGTCTAGTATCGACTAAGTGTGACAGAATCGGGCTTTTTATGCATTTTACTTCCCCCTTCGTTAAGCTTAGCTGATAAATGTTCTCAAAGCGCAGACGCACCTGCCTAACAGTACGCACTATATAACATATATAATATAATATATATAATATGTGTTATGTAATCTGCTTGATACCATAAATAGTAATCGACAAAGCTGGAGTGACTAGCCAGATGTCGGATGTTTGGAACCTATTCAGCTTTCTGAGCTCAATCAAACTGGGTGCACCACTGATGAGAGTGTCTCCAAACGCGAGCTAAACACCCGTGTGACAGTCAGATCATATTGATCTGGCCAGTAAGCACCACTGGTTGATATGAGTGGCATACGACTACTTATCTCAATCATTTAGTAGTACAGAATTTCAAACAGTAAAGACATTCTTCTAGAAATGTTTCAGGCTTGCTTGGAAGCAGGTATTAACCGTGTCTAAATAATTCAGACTATATAGAATGACGGAGTGTTAAATTACTTTTCAGTCCCCAAAGGAGTCATAGTCTCTAGCTGATGAAGATTCTTAAACTAGGATGAAACAGCTGTCCACTGGTTCCTGTTGTTTTTTTTTCAGTGATTTTCTAAATGATATTAGTTCATGACGAAATCCACATTGAAATTAGTCCACCAAATACCTGAAAAGTGTAACGTTAAAAGAGACGCCTACTATTCATTTAGTTGTCAACGGTGTTAAATCGTAACTACAGATTTGTATTCGTTATAATGCACTTAGGAAATAGCTACACTAATTGATTGACTGGTTGACTGGTTTCAACGTAGAACTTTCAATAGACGTGCAGAAGTTCGAGTCGCCACACTTCACTCATTACACAAAGCAAGAAAAGAGAGTAAATTGAAATACAAGACTGAGATATGAGGCAAAAAGAATAATTATATTGAAGAACCATATAGTTTTGTTGGGTATTATAAGTCACAAGAAGTGGGTGCATCTGCGCCAGCTATTGAGAACGATTCCGAGCCCTATCACCAGTTGTCTCCAGCCATTGGTTTTTACCGTCCCGAAGACCCCAAACAGGAGGTCGACACCTCTCTACAAGGCTGGTTTAGACTATTTTTTTGTGGATTTCATTGACTGATGAAGCCAGGTTTTGCTTTGACCACCACTGGCTCTTTTCCAACTTGAATCATCCAATGTCAGCTAAAACCTCCTGTCGAGGAAAGCGATGACTAGGCAGGCATGCGTAACACATGTCCTAAACATCTCAGTCGTTGGAACTCCACAACCTCGTCATTTGATTTCCCCTTCTCACCTAATGACTGTTCCATAAACTCAGTATTACTCACCCTTCTATCCCACTTAACACAGGAGAAAGAACTCAGATACCTATGACCGAAGACAGTTAACCTTTTCATTTATACCACCTTCAGTGGTAGTCAAACTTCTCTCTACCTCCATTTCCTTCATCGATTCGGAAAAGATTTTCGACAGAGTTGACTGAGACGTAATTTGGAAACCACTTAAACACAGTGGCGTACAGTGCCCAAGTCCTTATCAATCTATATCAATAACTATATGGTAATGCCATGTATCAGGTGCTCCACAACGAGAAACTTAACGAGGCCTTCAAAGTGCATACAAGAGTAAGACAAGGCTGCCTATTATCACCGATGGTAATTTTAATTGTAGTCGACTGGATTATGCTTCAGACTGTGCATGGGAGTGAGAAGACAGGAATATGCTGAACCGATAAGAAGACTGTATCTAGAACATCTGGATTTCGAAGATAACTTACGTTTAATTTCACACAAACTGGAAGACTTACAGGTGAAAACCAACAAACCGGTAGAAGAGGCGATCAACGAAGACAGGACTTCAGGTAGACATAAAGAAGGTGTGGAGGTGTGGAAGATAACCAACCAACAACTACCGCAACAACAACAACCAGCACTAGTCACCATCAACAGGAGAAATTTGAACGAGGTCACTTCCCTCATCGCTTCAACCACAGGCCGGTTGAATGGATGAAGATATCAAAGCCATCGAGAATCAGAAAGGCAAGTTACACCTCCATCATTTTGAAATTGGTCTGAAAGTCTTCTGCATTCAAGCAGCAGCATATGGAACAAGATTCCAATTTTCAATGCCAATGTCAAACCATTTCTTCTATATGCCAGGAGGAACTTGACGCACTTCACGAAAGACATTTTTCAACAGGTTTCACACTCTGATCAATACCTGCCTTTACTGCCTCCATACTGAGGTTCAAATGTCTGGCCAACCAGAAAGAATTAGTAACACTAAACTCCGGCTGGGAACAAACCAACCAAAAGCCGATCGCTCAACAAATATATGGGAGAAAATGAAGATGGATCGGGCATACATTGAGGACACCATCGAATGACATGCTGCTTAAAGTAGGCCATCGCTCGTGTGGAATCCCAACAGCAAGAGATCAGTGGGTTCTCAATGTGAGGCCAACGTGGAGGAGATCGTTTGGTGAGGAGGAGATGAGAGATTATGGGCAATCGTGGACCCGGCTGAAGAGGAGAGCAGAAAATAGAAGAAAATGTAGACATGCTGTTGAAGCCCTATGCTCCACTTGGAACCCAAGGGAACAATAATAATAATAATAATCGTAATAATGGTAGGCGATTCGGTTAGGTTCATGGAAAATAAATATTCTGGTTGGTTGATTCTTAGAACAGGACCGAGCTGTTACTATTTCACGCCGATTCCTATCAATTCATGACGTCTTTAACAGTTGTTGTAGACTACTGTCTGGTTGAGGTCCTCAGGATGGTAAGAACCAATGGTTGAAGACTGCACTTGATATGACGCAATACTGGCCTCAGTAGCACAGGTGTATTCAGTATTTATGATTTCCATAATGGTTTTCCATGTTACTATTCTTTCTTTCCGTACACTTCTGCTCCTTTCATAGTTCCTTTGAATCTCTTTGTTGCATGTTTTTTTCTTACGTGGAATGTGACAACTTGAACTGCCGTACTTCAGTACAAAGTTTTATGTTGAAATTCAATTAGACAGACAATCAAAAAAGATTTACTGTTTCTCCACTTTATATTTAGGCTGCTGTTGTCTCATTAGTTAAAGATGAATTAAATGTACAAACGCTAGCGATTGGTGATGGAGCGAATGATGTCAATATGATACGTGTTGCTAATGTTGGCATTGGTATTAGCGGTGGTGAAGAAGGCATGCAAGCTGTTATGGCTTCTGATTTTGCTATTAGTCGATTTGCCTATCTAAAACGTTTATTACTAGTACATGGGCATTGTTGTTATGATAAACTGGCGAATGCATCATTATACCTGTTTTATAAAGATGCTGTAAGTTAACCAAAGGAATTTTATACATATTTTGTCAATATGACTTTTACTTTTTTCGTTCCATTGGGTCCCAAATGGAGTGTAGGACTTCAGGCTTTAGCTTTTACGTTTTAGTAACAATTATGACTTCTCTGTCGAGTGGAGTTCCTAGCCTTTTCTCCCAACTTTCCCTCTTTACTGGGCCTAGTACCGGTTAAGTGAGGTTTAGGATTGCGCCAACCGGGAATCAAACCTCGTAGCTTACCCCAAGAGCAGTGAACCACCAATGAACTACTGACACACCACTTAAAATACTGATTGAGGGTTATTTCCTTGATCGTGGCTACTAGTGGAATCCGACTCGGGAGTCGTCAGCTGAATATATCTACGAACCCAGTGAAAATTCAGCACAGTGCCTGTCATTTCAAACATCAAAAAGTCGTCAGCTAGACCGCTGGACCACATGAATCACCTCTTGCACAGCGGGTATTTGTTTTAGTTATTTCGTATTTGCTGTTGACTGATTTTTATTGGTGTCTCTTGACATGAATGAGCTTCAAATATGGGTGCTTTGACAAAATGCGAGTCCTGGTATTCAGTGCTACTAAGTGCATCAACCAAGTAAAATAATGTCAACCTTCATACATTGTCGAAGTGTCTATACTGGGAGTAGATATATCAGCAGAGATCGACAAAAAACAGTCAGTGTTATGAGAATAATTCATAAGTGATCAGATATCACTGGTATTTCAAGCCATGGATGTATGTTGCCTTTTTCGAGACACTCATAAAAGATCCAAGTATGGTTATTTAATTAACACCTAGCCAACAGAGTGAATCTTCAGAATTCAGCCTACGATTTTTAGAAGATTCTTTAGTTAGCTCACGATAACTTGCAGGTGTACGCGTAGCATTAAGTGCTAGAGCGGTGAAAATCCCTACTTTACTGAATCCTAGGGAACAGTCGTACGTGTACAAATGGAGACATTGCCTAACCCAGTGACCTCCAACAGCAGATTAGCGATGAACTCAGACCAACCATATAACGATAAGCTATTGATAGTGGATGTCGGTAGAATATGGCTTCTTCTGAAACACCTGTCTAGACTCAAAACACGCCCTCGTCCGTGCACGTATATGACTACAATTAAACGAACATAGAAAATATACAGAAATGAAGTCGTTACGCCCTCAGCTTGATCGTGAAACTAAGTCCTCATTCAAGAGAGAAATAGCTAAATACGTATCTGAGATTGACAGCAAGACTGAGAAACTGCTCAAGCGCAGACTGACAAAAGGTCTTCTCGATGACAGCGAACAGTGGTGGGCGACAAAAGCGGAAGGGTTGGAAAAGGGCATCTACGACAAGTAATACCACACAATGATTTAGGCTTATTAAAGAAACAGGTTGCAAAAGACAAATGATAAATGAAACCATCTCCGAGAAAGGCGGAGATGAAATCAGATCTCAAGGTAGACGACTGAAACGTTGGAGAGAACATTTTTGGGAGTACTTTGACTGGTTTGGCCAGTATTCAGAACCTACATGAGTGGAATGTAAACATCAGTTCTTCATATGTAGTCAAGGTTACTAAGGCTGTCTCTATATTGTGAAAAGTCGTGAAGCGGCAGGACTCTATGGAATGACTTCAGAGGTATTTAAGAACGGCGATGACAGACTGTTGTGTGTGGTTAACTAAGGTATTAAGTAATGTCTGGGAATCACAGATGGCTCCGTCAGATTGGCATAAGCTCCAGTTTATAAGAAGAGAGGCAAGCTTTCCTGTGTTAATTATAATCTGGTAGGCCTGAACAATATGTTGTCTAGAGTTTTTGGTTTAGTAATCATGCTCAGACTAAATGGCGCAGGGGAGAAACGAATTCAAGTAAAGCAGTTAGGTTTTAGGCCAGGAAGAGGGGGTAATACCCATGTATTTACCCTTCATCAGATTCTGAAACATAGGTATACTTACGGGCGTCCGAAAATTGTCATATTTCTTGACCCGAAAGTTACCGATTGAAGAACGTGTGCATTGTACAGGATTTCGCTCAGTCCTTCTTTGAGGTTGTAAGATATGGCCATCAAAAGTGGAAGATATGATGAGGCTGGCAAGCTGTCTTTAATCATAGATGTTTCCGATCTATCTGCCGTGTTAATTGGCACAACACGGTGAGTAATATTGTTGTTAAGCGTAGAATGTTAGGTGAGGAGAGTAAGTCGGTTGATGAGGTTGTGAAGATGGACCAATTGAGGTGAATAGAATGTGTATTGCGCATTCCGAACTATCGTCTTCCCCCAACGGGTAATGCTGGCTGGTGAAAGTAATTCTTTCCATGTGATAAATGCTTTTTAAGTCATCTGCTTTGGATTATTTTATTCCCTCTTATTTGAATTTTAAATGTTAAACAACATGTATTTCCGGAAAACTTATTGATTTGTCTTTTCCAAAGAGACTTTTGCACAACCTCTTCTTCCTTAACCAATAGTTATTTTTGTTTTAATGAATGTGATTTCGTTTTAAAATTTCATTTTTCAGATCTATATATTCGTTCTATTTTGGTTTCAAATGTTCAATGGATTTTCGGGTAGCAATGCAATTGATCAATTGTCACAAATACTATTCAGTGTTACAATGACTGGTTTACCACCATTTATCATGGGTATATGGGATAATCCATTGGATGCTGAGACACTTTTAGCCAATCCAATCCTGTATAGATCTGGTATACAAGGAACAGTGAGTTGTTTGAATCGATTTTCACTTTTCCACTGTTTACATTATCTCCATTATCATTACTAGTCCAGACAGTGTAGGGGAATGTGCCACGTTAGTGGTAACGTCTCTGATCAAAACACCACTGCTGAGTGATGCAGGTTTGCATCACAGAGAGCATATCAATTCCTTCAAGGCCGCAGATTGACGAGTGCTAATGAGAACGAAACTTGGGTTCCCAACTTTCTGCCGATAGTCTTAGAGAGTCTACTGATAACGATAATAATTCAAGGTTTAATTAACAATAGCGTCTTATATTTTATGAATTCCAATTACTATTAGTCCTAGCTGTCTTTGATCATAGGTGCCTGTGTTTTATCTCTCAGGTTAGGTGACATAATAGGGTGAGTAATATTGACGTTAGGCCTCAGTTGAGTGCTAGGTAAGGCGGGAAAATCAATCGATGACCTTTTTGATATTCCTAATGCATTTTATAGGATAGTTAGTTATTTGACACCAACGCTTCTTCTATCTGTTTTATTTCATCAATTAGAAAGATCAGATGAGCTCAAAAGCAAAATAAAAATAATGTTGAAACTGACAAGGACAACATTAATAAGACAGAATATAAGGCATCTACAGTTATACCATATAAGGAGGGGACATCAGAGATCCTACGTAGGATGCTTAATAAAGTGAGAATTAGGGTGCTGGCATTCAAACCTACAAACTCACTCAAGTACAAGCTCTGTAGGTTAAAGGACCCTGTTGACCCAATTAGACAAAATAATATAATTTTCAAAATACCTTGCAATGACTAAAAGTGAGGTCAACCACACGGGTCAAACTAGTGGATCAGGAGTATTGAGATTATCAGAACATAAAAATTTAGCTAATATTAGAATGATTGACCCCACGAAGAAAAGTAATTTAGAAAAAAGATCAACACAAAACCGCACAGTAGGGTGGAAGAGAGTTAATGTTCTATAAAGTAATATAGGTAGGTGGAGGGAGAGGTTGTCTACTGAATCCTTGTTCATCGAGTCTACATCCAACATGTGCAGTAAGAATGACTCATCACTCAAACCGGAAATATGGAGAATGCTACTGTACCAACAGAAGGCAAGAGTCAGGCAACAGATCATTTATTAAGGAAATCAACACATATTTATAGATTTTCATGTACATATAATAGATTATTCAAGCAAACAAACACACTCTTCTGATTGGTTGTTTCTCACAGAAAATTGACCTTGCATCTCTTTGTGACTGTTTCTTGAGTGTCAGCTCATCTATACGTTAACTGTATCCGCCTACGCAAAGTCTGCTCTGATTGGTTGTTGAATCAGTCTTTGTTCATATTTCCTCATGACCAATATTTGGGACATACGCATTGACGTAAAATACTGTCTACCACTTTTGGCTAGCAGCCACCTCTCACCACACTACTACTAACCAAATCAAGCGATGAAAAATAATGGAATTATATAGACGAATTTAGGAAGTTGTGTGAGTGCCTTGATATGATTATGAGCAGTAATACATTGTGCTTGAAACGTGGTCATCAGTAAATATTACTGTCTAACACTTTGAGACTTTATCAAAATGAATTTTACCCACAATGGAATTTAACACCAATAGATGAGAAGGGAACATCTATGCTAACAAATTGAAATAATAGTATCCTTCAACTCATGAAGAAAAACTGCAAGGGATGAAAACCTATGGAGCCAAACAGAATTAAACCTCTGGTAAATGTAGAGGTTGGGATGGTTTCTTGCGAAGACATCGCTTTGATATGTATGACGATGACTTCTGTAGTTCAGAGTATTCGAAAACACATTGCCTTTGAAAGATTTTTGTTCACTTTGTAAATGACTCTAAATGACGAGTCATTTGAGATGCTGTGACGAATGCTGACGAGGTGTCCAGTTATAGTGTAACAACAGAAGACAAGGGCCAGGCAACAGATCGTTTTATTATTAAAATCAACACGTATTTATACATATTTCACATACATTATTATAGACAAGCGCAGTCATCTGATTGGTTGTTTATCAGAAGTTAGGCAGACAAACGCAGGCTTCTGATTGGTTGTTTCGGGATTCCTCGACAAATAGAGTTCTCTATCTGCGAATCATATTTTGCCACGTTAACTTTGCTGTGATTGGTTGTTGACTCAGCCTTGTTCATATTTCCTCACGGCCCATATTAACGTAGCTTAGTGTCAACCAATCGGCTAGCAGCCTGCTCTCACCACAATAGTGCTTCTGATTGAATCATTGTTGCCTCTCTGCAGCCGTACTGGTTAGTGTTCTCTAACACATTTTGAAAGGACGCGCATAGCAGGACCTATGAACACAGATCCACAGGAGCAGATGAATTATCATTTGCACACTGGAGTCATCATATTGTTTAGAAGCTGTTGGCGGCTAAAGAATATTACTCTTAGCGTTGCTGTAGGAAAATTTTTCTTTAGGAGACTAGAAATTCCTCTGTTTGGGATATCTGCCACTAATTTCTCCCTGAAGTCTACATTCATACATAGCGTTTCCTTCGGTAGTGAACTGCATTCTTCTCTTTTTGACTTTGGTCCCGTGTCTTTCCCCACAAATAGTGCCGGTTAGCCAATTTCGGTCAGGTTTCTTCTCAGTAGCAAGACCTCTGATTAAATCAGTTCATCTAGGGTTAGACCTACATGAAAACACTAGAACGACGTGAGTAGTGGATAAGTGATTTTAGCTCGGAAAGCCGGTATGCGAATATTAAAAGTACTCGGCTAGTAATCTAAAAATTTCGATCTCTAGTATGATCATGGACAAGTATTTCTGAAGCGTCTTAAACAGAAAACAATTCTCAAGGTGTACATATACACCTGGATTTTACTCCTGAGAAATACTTGCACAACTATTTGTTGGCTGTAAAGTTAAGCAGAATGATAATCGAGTCATATGCTCAAACAGTTAAAATTCTATTTAGATACAAATAAAGTGTACGAATATTTATCGCAAATAACCAGTTCATTACACTGTTCTGAAAGCTGTCTGCAAGCCAAAATTGTAGACAACTAGTTACGTCAATGTTTACGTCCCGAATCGGCGTCATGAGAAAAAACAGTAACAAAGCTTAACCTTGCTGAACTCACCAACCAATCATAGCAGACTTAACGTGTGCAAATACAGTTCGCAGTTATATGGCTTTACTTTCTAAGAAACGGCAGCAAGCAGTACAGAATAACCTTAAGGAAGTAAACAACCAATCAGAAGACGTTGCATCTCCACTAACAATAAAGCTAATAATAATGCACGTAAAAATCCGTAAACACGTCTTGATTCTCTCAATCTACGATCTGTTGCCTTGCCCTTGTCTTCTGTCGTTACAACACTGATGTTCGTGTGACCTTCATGTATTATTTATTGAAACTGAACAGAAAATAAAAGTATTCTACAAATGAATAACAGAATATTTTACAATAAGTAGCCCTCAAGAATAATCTGTTCATTTCAAAGTGTCTAATTTGCAAAATCAAACAATTAGCGAAAAATGTATCATATTAGATGTATGTTTTCTCATTCCTTTGAGTTCTGAGCTTCAGTAGCGTTGGTATCGTTTTGCGCGGTTGTGTTGTTAACCTCACGCTGTCCAATCTTCCCTCTTCTTAGTGGTTATAACTGTCTAGTAAACTGAATGATGTTTTTAGGAAATTCAATATTCCCATAATTTATTCAGAACAAAATATTTAAAGCGAACAATGGTGGTTTCAATAAATTCTTCCTTCTTTAGGCTCTACAATTATAAATCCATTAATTTAAGCATACAATAGCCAGCCAGTAAAGGCAAATTAGAATCATATCAGAAAGTGTATTGTGGAACAAGTATAAGATCAGATGGAACAATAGTCATATGGTTTTTTAATATGCCTGATCAATGAGAACATGGGACAAAATGAGATGAAGTAATTTAATTTATTGATATATATATATATAGTTAACAGAAAATACAGGTTTCAGAAATGAGTGTAATCAGGGTGTGTGAGTCTATATGAAAATAAACCAACGAATGGGGCGGTCTAGACATAATTTCAAGGTTTAAAATAAGAACAATAAGAATGACTGTAAAATAATGACGATGATATAGTGTAAAATTACAAGTACTATTGGTGAATGATTGTCAAATAATAATAATGAATATAATGAACAGTATTTTGTAAATACCATAGCAAGTTAGAAGAGCAGTACTTAAACCTTAGGTGATACAATGATAAGAAAGGTCATGAAATCATAAAGGTCGAAAATGAACGTTTGTCAATGAAACAGAGGAATAGAAGAAGGAGAAGAAAAGAAAAGAAAATTGTGAAAGGAATTTATGGTGTTTGTGGAGGATTTGTTGGCTTTGTTGTAGGCCAAGGTAAACATAGAGGTTGAACATACTTCTTCTGTATGCAAAGAAATGGTCTTCTAATAATAACTGCAACCGCTTCAGCTACTGATAGAAGACGTGGTCGAGCTCCTTTAGATAAATTACTAGGAACACGGTAAATAACTGAGAATGCCTGGTCAACCATACAGGTACATGTTCACGCGCGCGCATGGATAAAGCCCTCTGAGTACGGCCAATGTAACTAGCTCCACATGAGCAGTTGAATTCATAGATGCACATTAGGTCATTTATCCTTGGCTTGCTGTGTAAATACTGGTTTAGTTGAGAAGTTGAGTACCAGTTTAGCTGCGGGAAATGTTTTATCTACTGCCCTATTAAGTCGACATTCTAGAATGTCAGCTGCAATTTCCCTTTTGTAACTTAACTTAAGATACAAAAGTTTCTTGTCTACAGTATCCACCTTTACCCTGTCTGTCCCATGTTCTCATTGACCATGCATATTAAAGAACTTCACATTGAAGTATGCGCTGTAGATGTCACCTAGTAGGGTGATGAAAGCTTCGCAAATCAACTATCCAGCTCAGAGAACACAACCACATCAATATTAAAAAACCATATGACTATTTTTCCATCTGATCTTATACTTGTTCCACAATACACTTTCTGATATGATTCTAATTTGCCTTTACTGGCTGGCTATTGTATGCTTAAATTAATGGATTTATAATTGCAGAGCCTGAAGAAGGAAGAATTTATTGAAACCACCATTGTTCGCTCTAAATATTTTGTTCTGATGTTTGGGAGTTCTTTGCTTGAACCATGGACCGTATGTGTGTGGTTGAAGGGCATTGGACCATCAGACCACTGACGCTCGTGTATTGCAAACATATCTTGGTTAAACTCTCTTTATCTACTGTGGTATTGAACAAGAGTCAGCACTAAGTAGCACACAGGAAGGAAGAGGGTGGTTTTCAGCCCTTGTGATCAGTCTTGATGGGTTGTCAAAGTTATTTCCAACAACAGCTCAGTGCAGACTTTCACCAACACTTGCTTCCGCTCTATACTTCAGGTCAGATGTCCAGAAATAACAAGGAACTCTGATATTCATGAACAAGAAAGATGCAGAAGAAATTGGAGATGTGGATTGAGTGTATGCTGAAAAGATTGTTGAATGACACCACATGCCAGACCTTCCAGTTCACCTGAATGTAAAACCATCAGTTGGAGAGGAGATCAAAGGGAAGACGAAATTAAAGATTGGAGGCAGTTGTAGAGCCAGTTGAAAGCAATAGCCGAGAACCAAGTGGAATGAAGATGTGTCGCTGAAACCCGATACCACACACGAAACACAAAGAATATATAATAATAATCATTTCACAGTAATAATTATTATCACAATTACTTATCTAATCCGTAATTTACACACTCTCTTTTTTTTCTCTAGGCTTATCGGCCATGGTTATTTTGGTTGAATATCTTTGATGCATTATGGCAAAGTTTAATCATATTCTTTTTATCCTACTTCGCTTATTCGGATAACATTATCGGTTTATGGGAATTTGGATTGTTTCAAACTAATGCAATGACATTGTGTACACTGATACATTCCTTATTGGTTACTAGAACATGGGTAAATTATTATTATTACTTTATTTGTGTAATATTCTTTTGTGAATTTACCACAGAACTAGTTGTGTATCGGATGCTATTCAGTCTCGTGATAATTCTGTGCAATTCCTCTCTCTTTGACATAGTCTTTTGGCTTATTCTAGTACTGTTTCCACCTAATTTTTTGTTGTTAAGGTATAATCTGGCGTTTTATGCATCTGTAACAACAGAAGACAAGGGCTGGTAACAGACCGTTTTATTACGGAAATCAGCACGTATATATATATATATATTTCATGTACATCATTGTAGCTTATTCAAGCAGACAAACACAGTCTTCTGATTGGTTGTTTCTGGTTTCTCGGAAAGTTAAGCTATATATATCTGCGAATCTTATTTGCCCACGTTAAGTCTGTTATGATTGGTTGTTGAATCAGCCTTGTTCATATTTTCTCACGGCCAATATTAGTGACCTAGACATTGACGTAAATTAATGTCTACCAATTGGCTAGCAGCCTGCTCTCACCACACATCAAATGTTAAAAATACAATGATTTTAAGCCACATTAAAGAAAAGGCGTTGAGCGAAGAGTTACTCCTCTTTTCGGCAAAATCATTCTTAAGCTGTACAATCGCTTCTAACACAACAAACTCTGTTAGCAACAAAATCAATATTCCCAGAGAATTATGAATTTTAGATAATAAATATTAAGCAACGTAGAAAGAAACCTTCTTAAAACCGCAGAAGCAACAGCAATTCACATGTTAACTTCTGAACTCGGAAATACAAAAGAAGTTTCTAATGAAAAGATAGATGATGATGATGATGTAATATAGTGAGTACAACACTTGATTAATTGAAAATTAAGTCTAAAATTGAAATCTAACAAGAGATGAAGAAAACAAGGTAACATAATCTCAGGAAACAGAGAGCTTTTCTATAGTTTGGTTTGTAAGAGTTAGTTTTGCTTTTACGAGTTGATCATGGATTGATATCAGTTAGAGAACCATTGAAAACCAGCCACATGGAGTACTGGACAGCTGTTTCATCCTAGTTTGGAAATCACCGACAGTACGCACGCACCTCCAGGCCTGAACTCGGGACCACTGAAGTCCATCCAGTCAAGTGTGAGGATGGATGTCCCACCGATGACATTGGTTAAGGGGTCTCACTAAGTCACGAATTAATAGAAGTTAGAATTCATGGGCCATTGAACCGAGCCCCAGTGGCTGAACTGTATACGAGCAAGCTTGCCTTGTAACCGGAAGGTCTAGGGTTCGGACCTGGTGGTGGGTCCGTACTGCCGATGATTCCCGAACTGGGATGAAACAGCTTGCTGTCCAGTACTCCCTGTGGCTGGTTTTCAATGGTTCTCTAACTGATATCAATCCGTGATCAACTCGCAAAAACAAAATTAACCCTTACAAACCAAAGTATAGAAAACAAAAGAAATTTTTTCAGTCGTTAAATCTACAATGGACCTGATCTATCTTAATACTAAATACGTAATTTTTGGTTTTTGTTACTTAATTGTATTATTTTCTTCCCCCACCCCTATTAAATCTTTAACCTTTATTATCACTGTTGCTAACTTTATTATCATTCGAATTTTCGTTGAATACTACTCAACCCCGTCAATTAGTTCACGTCACTCAACTTTCCTTTCTACATTACGTAATTTATTATCTAAAATTTACAATTCTGATCACATATCTCTGGAAATATTCCATTTTTGATTGGACACTATTAAGTAGTGTGATGTGTCTCTGACTGCAGCACTGGGTGACGCGGGTTCGAATCTCCTTAGAGTGGACATGAGTTCCTTCAAGGTGGTTGCAGATACGCCTTGCTGACTGGTCAGTGCCAACTAGCACGAAACCTAGATTAAGCAAGGCTTCTTGTGGCCAATCGCCTCCAACCATCTAATATCATCAAATACTCCTTTTGTTGCTAAGAAAATTCACTATATATATATATATATATATATATATATATATATATATATATATATATATGGTATTATGCAGTTCGAAAATGATATCGCTGAAAAGAGTAACTCTTCTCTGAACACCTTTTCTTTTAAATGACTTTTGAATGGTCCTTCTGGTCTATATGAAACCAATTTAATCCGTGCAAAGTATCGCTTTAAAGTTGACCTTATGCTCACCACTGACTGTCTATAGGATCAAGTGGCTTGGATTTTTAGTGAGAAGTTGTAATCGATGAGATCCACCAAGTTGGACTAGAATATGCTAAGTATATGTCTAAGTAGAGTGTCTTAAACTCTAACCAATAATTCTTAACTTTAACCCTGATCTAATTTAATCGTAACTTTAATCGTATTGTTACCTGAACCCAAATGTATTATTTTATTTATTTTGTTCTTTTACTTTCATACTGGAGCGTAAAGCTTCAGACTAGAGGTTTGACTTTTCGGTAACGATGGTGTTTACTTTTACTTAGTGCGATTGCTAGTTTCATGCCCAACCTCCCTTTTTTACCGGCCTAACTACAAGTCTAATTAGGTTAAAGGAGTGCATTATCCATGGGTTGAAACCCAGGGCACATGCATGGTTGGTGTTGGTGAGCAATCCAGTGCTGTACCATCTACGTAAACCAAAAAATAATAATCGTTAGCTAACTCTATGTGTGGATAGGGTCAAGATCTTAATTCTAAACGATAATAATCAGTATTCTCTTTCGCTTGAATGATTATTGTTTAAATATATGTCGGTGGCACAGTGGTTAGGACTCTCGCCGACCATGCACATGGTCCGAGGTTCAATCCCCTGCCGACGCACATCTGATATCCATGGTCGGCCTGCAAAATTTGGGCTACCGATATCCATGCTGAAAATTCCATACTTGTACCGAAAATACAGTGCGGAATCAAGCTGTAAATAAAAAAAATAAAAAAATAAAAAAAATGAAATGTACTTCAAAGTAAGTTATTTGATCTGTCTACGAAGCTAATCAACTCTGATACAATAGTTCACTCTCTCTTAACAGTTTTGAGTTCTATCAAGACAATGTAGATTGTAAAATCTTAAACAATGTCGTTTCCATTTCATAGTTACCTAATTAAAACTAAACATCATTTTGTGGTTAAACTTTTCATATGCACATTTTTTCTCTTTTAATACGCATAGGTTGTATTCCATGCAATCAGTGTTCTAGGTAGTTATATACTAGCCTATTTAATATTTACAATGATTTATCATGCAGTAGCTGTTACTGCTATCCCACCGGAATGTCCTTATCAGATTATTTTCCAGTCAATGAGTAATATAAACTTTTGGTTACTAACTCTAGTCACTATAATCTTAGCCTTATTACCAAGGTGAGTGTACATCTTGTCTATTTCATTGTTACATTGATTATGTAATATATTATCTTTTTTAATCATTATTTATTGTTCCGTTCAGCTCTGAGTGGAACACGGAGCTTAAGTGGTATATCTTCATTGCATTCGGCTTATCACCATCATTTTCACTTGTTCCTACGACTATACACGAACTTTTATTTCCTCTTCAGGTGATCTACTCCATGTTACCCTTGAATACCCAACTCGTCGCCTCTCAGCAGGGTTCCATTCAGGGTCCTGGCTCGTGGTATCACCTCAGCGTGTGTCCAATTCATCTGTGGCATTTATTATTATTATTGTTCCCTTGGATCATCTCCATTTTGTTTTATTTTCTGCTGGCCCCTTTATCTGACCCCACTATTGCCCATAATCTCTTATCACCTCTTCGTATAGTCTATTTTATGTCACTGTCAAAAGACCCACTCCCCGTTTTCCATTCGGGTTCCACTTGAGCGATGATCTGCATTGTGCGCGATGTCATTCAAAGGTCTCCTCAGCATATGCCCTATCCATTTCGATTTTCTTCAGCATATTTGTTGATCATTGGGTTCTTGATTGTTTTGTTCCCAGAATTTGTCTTTTTTTATTACAGCTTGATTCCACACTGTATTTTTGGTTCAAGTATGGAATTTTCATCATGTGATATCGGTAGCTCTAATTTTGCAGGCCGACCATGGATATCAGATGTGCGTCGGCAGGGGATTGAACCTCGGACCATGTGCATGATCGGCGAGAGTCCTAACCACTGTGCCACCGACGCTAATTCCTACTAATCATCTGATCTTTAGTACGTAGGTAGCGAAGGCGGCTGTTGATAAAAGTCGGAAGTCTTGTAGAAATATTTGTCGTGATACGCAGTGTAAGTTTCTCACTCATAAAGAAGAGGTAACCGACTTAACATTGGTGTTGAAAATTCGAATCTAGTTTGTGTGCAGAAGACTTCCAAACTGATTTTGCAGCGCTGAAAGTTCATTTTGTCTTTTTGGTTCTAGTTTTGACATCTTCATCCGTTCCACTTGTAGTTGAAACGATGCTGCCTATCCAGATAAGTGAAGGGGGGAAGTGACCCCATTTAAATTTTCCCATTGACAGTGATTGATGCTGGTTGTTTTTATCTTTGCTTGGTTCGTTATCTCCATGTTCTTCAGCACTGCTGTATTCGCTACCTCTTCATCCAGTTTAGTAGTTTTCGCCTGCAAGTCTTCGAGTTTGTGTGACATGGAATATTTTTTGTCTTCCTTCACGTTCCCAGTGGAACATAGGGCCTCATGCTAGTGGCTTGAAGTTTCTGTAGCAGTGGTATTTATTTTTACAGGATGGGGTTGCTAGCCAGCCAGCCTCATGCCCAACCTTTTCTCTTTACCAGCATTATTTCTGGCTTAGGGAGGTAAAGGAGTGAGTCGGCTGGGGGTCGAACCCCGGACCATGTACATGGTCGGCGTGCATCCTCACCGCTATACCGCCGACGCACCGACATGAAGTATAAATCATCCATAAGTGAAATTCTGGTCTTCTTGGGTATTCTTATCAGTCAGTGAAGCATATTCCTGTCTTCTCGCTGCTACAATTTATCATAAGGTAAAGTTAGAAGAATTTCAAAATCACTAGGTGAATAAATTCAAATTTATGCCTCAGCAGGATTTAAAAGAGACACTTCCAGATATGATAGCGGATATGAGGAAGAAGAGGTATGAAAGATCGCAATTAAGAAGATCATATACTCCGGTCCAGTTATATCACTTAATACACTTATTCCTCTTTATAAATTGGAATAAAGCAAGAACAACAGTTTTTTTTCAGAATAACATGGTACCATCATTGTTCATTTCGTTGGCTTCTCATCAGCTGCTGGCTACATCCTCAATAAATTATTATTATTATTAAGTTCATATACAGAAAAGTTTTAACACACTTGCAGATTTTACGTGTTGTCAGTTGACAAGAGCTTGCTGACTCAGTGAAAAATGTTCAGGAAATTACGCTTACATAGTTTTTTACACAGGTAGTTCAAGTTTAAACAAAGTTTATGTCTGCGTACAATGGCAAAGGAGTTACGTGATAAATACGAGAAATGAGTAAGATGTCGAGTTTAGTTCATGTAATAGAAACAGGAGACAAGAAAAATTACACTATATCAAATGGTGAAGGGTAAGTTTAAAGCCAAAGATTGTGTAATCACATGAAGGGGAGAATAATGACACTCAGTTACCAGGACAGGTTAGGAAAGACTGATAACTGCCTCTTCTTTCTGAACGCAGAAATGGAGTTTTAGGCGTTTGGTAGAGATTGCTTCATCAGACTTGAAGAAAATTGAACTTTTTTGTCTATTTTCTAAAACTATTATGGCGCTGGTGCATCGGTGGTTCAGTGGTAGAACACTGGCCACTCAACCAAGTGGTCCGGGGTTCGATACCACGCTGGCGCTTAGCCAGTAGCATGCCAGATAAAGAAGGAAGGTTGGGCGTAAGTCCAGCAACCTTACCTCGTGAATAAAACCACCACTGCTACTAAAACTTCAAAGCTCTAGCTTGAAGCCCCCTGTTTCACTGGGAACTCAAAGTAATAAAAATAATTATATTTATATAACTCATGAAAAATACCCATTTATTCATAAGTAAAAACACAGTTTTTTTCAGCGAAGAAATTTTTCCATTCAATGACTTCATTTTCAAGCTGTACAGTCGTATTTACATTACAGAAAAAGGTTATTAAGTGGCACTAGATAATTGCTCATTCAATATACGTATATATGTGATAAGAATAACGATAATTAAAATCTTATAAGGGGTAGAGTTGAAGTGGATAAATTACAGAATTATTACAGATTGTTTTATAAGTGAACTGATATTTTTAAATAAATATTTTTAAAAATGTCAAGCGTTGTCTAAAAATTTTAAAAATTAGGATTACGATTACGATAAGAATGAAGATGTGAAGTGAAGTGGAAAGAATTCAGGTGGTAAAATAAAATAAAAACTAAAAAGAACATTACTATGACCAAGGCAAGGAAAGGGGTTTGACAAAACGTTTTTGAACACATCATTTAGTTTTCTGTTCATGTATAGCTAATGCTTCAGCTAGCTATGCATAAGTGAAGAAAACGTAAACTTTTGGATCGATTCGATTTTGCCATGTAGATAACTTTGAAAGATGAATCACGTGGGGCTAAATGACCAGACTCTAACAGGTGATCACAAATAGACGACTTTGCAGTTCTACGTTCGCCTTTCATTAACCAAACCGGATAGTGTTCAGCTACACGTTTTCGGAGATTACGCTTACAACGTCCAATATAAACAGCTCCACAAGAGCAGGTAAAAGAGTAAATGCACATAGATGTGGGCAAAAGCGGTTATCTATCCTTGACGCATTGTCTAATCATATTTCGACTGGTAAAAACTAGATGCAAGTCAACTGCAGGAAAAGTACGTTTAATACATTTAGGTAAACGATTTTGAATCAATTCCGAAATGGTGTCACCTTTGAATGCTAGACTCATAAACAGTTTTTTCTTTGGCACTGTGATTTGTCTAGGGGCGGATTCTTTCTTGATGTTACGTTCAATGAAACTTGTGGGATAACCATTGTTAAGGAGATTTTACCAGTCGAAATATGATTAGACAATGCGTCAAGGATAGATAACCGCTTTTGCCCACATCTATGTGCATTTACTCTTTCACCTGCTCTTGTGGAGCTGTTTATATTGGACGTTGTAAGCGTAATCTCCGAAAACGTGTAGCTGAACACTATCCGGTTTGGTTAACGAAAGGCGAACGTAGAACTGCAAAGTCGTCTATTTGTGATCACCTGTTAGAGTCTGGTCATTTAGCCCCACGTGATTCATCTTTCAAAGTTATCTACATGGCAAAATCGAATCGATCCAAAAGTTTACGTTTTCTTCACTTATGCATAGCTAGCTGAAGCATTAGCTATACATGAACAGAAAACTAAATGATGTGTTCAAAAACGTTTTGTCAAACCCCTTTCTTTACCTTGGTCATAGTAATGTTCTTTTTAGTTTTTATTTTATTTTACCACCTGAATTCTTTCCACTTCACTTCACATCTTCATTCTTATCGTAATCGTAATCCTAATTTTTAAAATTTTTAGACAACGCTTGACATTTTTAAAAATATTTATTTAAAAATATCAGTTCACTTATAAAACAATCTGTAATAATTCTGTAATTTATCCACTTCAACTCTACCCCTTATAAGATTTTAATTATCGTTATTCTTATCACATATATACGTATATTGAATGAGCAATTATCTAGTGCCACTTAATAACCTTTTTCTGTAATGTAAATACGACTGTACAGCTTGAAAATGAAGTCGTTGAATGGAGAAATTTCTTCGCTGAACAAAAAGAAACTGTGTTTTGGTTATATAACTGTAAGACCTGATGTAGAAGTTATTGAAACGAATATTCTTTCTCTGTTAATCAAACAATCTTTTAAAACTTTAGATGATTGAAAGTTAAGTTGAAATTCACGTAGTTTTGTTGTTGTTGTTGCTTGTAACACTCTTATCTGTTTTTCTTCTCGCATATCACAGAATGTTAATTATCACTGTGAAAAATACATTTCATCCAAATATGGATACGATTGCTAATCTTCTTGCAAAACGTTTTGGTCGTGGTAAACACCTACCCTTAGAATCCTATCTACTACGTGTCCCATATTCATTTATGATGAGAAATCGTTTCTCTGTTATGCCAATAATGAGTCGTATGGCATCGTGTACATCTGAAGTGAATATGAATCGATCTATGAATGAATCCTATGTGCGTGGCACTAATAATAATAGTAGTATTTGTCGAGTTCGTGGTATTAGTGATAGTCCAATGGGGCATAGATCAACACTGAGTCGTGTATCATTACATTCGAATCAAAGTACAGATTTTATTACTACAACTGAAACACCACTGCATATAATTTCACACTTTGTTCGAATTTTAAGTTTAAGTAGTCAGATAGTTAGAGGTGTACCACCGAATACTGCTGCTGCTGCAGCGGCAGCGGCGGCGGCAACGGCTGCTTCCACTAATACTGCTACAAATCCTAATAATATGTATATTGAAGAGACTGCGTGCAGTTCAAATACTGGAATCGGCAATTTACAACCGTGTGATAATAATAACAATGAAATTCATAATCACAATATAAATAACACACCTCGGACTATTGGGGATCAGAGAAATGCTGATCGTTGTAATTACAATCAAAATCAAAGACGTTACAATCGAAATTATCAAACATGCAGTGGAAATTTATTCTTCAATCGAAGATTATTAGTACGACCTGGAAGTGCTGTGAATTTTGATGACGATGATGATGATTGCTCGGATGGAGATTTTGGTATGACAAGAACACCTGCACTTTGGCCAGCAATAGATCCAAATAATCGAATAATTGCTGGTAGTATTCAGAGTTCAGTTAATAACAGACTTTCAGGTAAGATATTTTCTGACTAATTCAACTTTTTTATATACATATAATGTATGGATGTCGTTGACTGATATAATTGACTCATAGATAATGGATGTATTCAAAGAATGATCTGTCCCAAGGTTTATTCTGTGATGTTTAGTATAAATTGTAAGGCCAGTCGGTATTATTATTATTATTACTCCCTTGGGTTCCTAGTGGAACATAGGGCTTCAACTGCACGTCTCCATTTTCTTCTGTCTTCTGCTATACTTTTCGCCTGCATCCATGTTAATCCATATTCTTTCAACTCCTCTTCACACGATCTCCTCCATGTCACCCTTGGACGTCCCACACGCCGCTTCCCTTTCGGCCTGGTTCCACTCGAGGGCTTGGCGCGCGATGTCACCCAGCGGTCTCCTCAGCGAGTGACCGATCCATCTCCACTTTCTCCTGCATATTTGTTGGGCGATTGGTTCTTGCTTTGTTTGTTCCTAGCCATAATTTCTTGTTGGTGATTGTTTCCGGCCATCTGATCTTCAGTATTGAGCGAAGACAGTTGTTAATAAAGGTCTGCAGCCTTTTATTCGTTGAAGTTTCTGTAGCGATTTGGTTTTTTTACAGGGGTAGATTGCTAGCACCACGCCCCAACCCTCCCCCTTTACCCGGGCTTGGGACCGGTGAGAAAACTAGTAAGCTCTAGTAGCCTAGCAAGCTAGTATCTGGCGAGGTAGTAACATGAATAATATTGCTGTGATTAGACAGTATTCTGTTATGAATTTTACTGAGATTGGGATTTATCTCTTAGTGTACATGCTGAAGAACTGGTCAGTAAATCAAAATGTGCTGAGTTTATTCAGTCCCACTGGTTGAACGGTCTACAAGCTTGCCTTGTAACTTCAAGGTCCTGGGTTCAAACCCTGGCAGTGGGTGCGTACTGCCGGTGTGCTGAGTTTAATTGCACGATGAAGGAAAATCAGTGTCCCTACTTGATCTGCTGATTAAAACGGGCTACTAACCTCAATAATAATAATAATAATAATAATAATAATAATAATAGCAATAATTTGCTGTATTCCAAAAACAGTGCTAATGATACAGCAAGGAATTTTCAGCATTCAGTAAAATATTGCATCTAACTTACTCAAAAACGACAAAAAAATTAAAATAAACATTACATAATAATAATATGAAGGTTGTTATAGCCGCTATATAGCAAATTACTGTATGCAATACGGAGAAAAATATGCATAAAGTACAAAATTGTAGTAATAATAGTAATAACAACTAAAATAAAATAGCAAAGTTATAATTAAACGATAGAAATTGTGACACCATAAAATACAGAAAGATGAACAGTGAAAGGGTCGATTCACTGTGCTAATTACATAGTAACTTATGTGTTTCACGTCTAACAGAGTCTTCGTCACATAAAGTACGGGCTAAATAGGGTATTGTAGAATTTCTGTACTTAGTGGTACGAGCATATAACTTTTTATATTGACTTCTCGTCCTACCTGATGAGGTACAAAGGGATAGTTGTGAATAAGGGAGTGCACAGGGTCTGACAGTCTAGCCTTTGCTTACAATCTAACATAGCTAATTCTCCTTGTTCAATTTCCGATTCAAATGTGAGTTTTATTCCCTCCACTACTGAGTTTATATATTTCAAGAAGCTAGAGATATGCTCTGTTTTTAACACTGTGAAAGTGTCATCCACATATCTCCACCATATTTTTGGAGTAGGATTAAATATACTGTAAAAACAGAAGACAAGGGCCAGGCAACAGATCGTTTTATTATTAAAATCAACACGTATTTATACATATTTCACATACATTATTATAGACAAGCGCAGTCATCTGATTGGTTGTTTATCAGAAGTTAGGCAGACAAACGCAGGCTTCTGATTGGTTGTTTCGGGATTCCTCGACAAATAGAGTTCTCTATCTGCGAATCATATTTTGCCACGTTAACTTTGCTGTGATTGGTTGTTGAATCAGCCTTGTTCATATTTTCTCACGGCCCATATTAACGTAGATTAGTGTCAACCAATCGGCTAGCAGCCTGCTCTCACCACACTCGTCCCCCCGTCAAATAGCTTCGTGCGCAGACGTTCCGACCTTCTGGGTGCTACATCCTCTAGTTGAGGATTGTTACTGACCGGCTTGTCCCACTGTACCCATCTTTGGAGCTGACTGGCGTTAACTCGTTTCTGTTTATCACCTCTTCGGATGGTATATACTTGACCCCGTCTTTTTGTGATTGTGTATGGTCCTTCCCACTTTGGAAGGAGTTTCCGTGAACCTAGCCCGCCTCCAACTGTATATCTCCTGTCTCTACACTTCACTTGGTCCCCGACTGCAAAGATAATGCACTGCGTCCTTTCTTTCATCTGAGACTTCGCGACATCACTGCGCTGCTTCTTCATTACATTCTTGACTGCCTCTTTCCTCTCTGCTTTTAATTTCGTCGTACTCCACTTTTGGTGCATGGGCCAGGTCTCATTGTGTACCGGTAATCGTGGTTTTCTACCATACATCAGTTGGAAGGGTGACTTCTTCGTTGTTTCCTGAGTGGTAGCACGATGTGTTAGTAAAATCAGTGGAAGCTCCGTTTCCCAGTTCCCGCCCTTCGAGGCCAGCCACTCCTTCAGTGTACGGTTGTTTCTCTCCGTTAGGCCATTCGTTTGTGGATGGTATGGGGTCGTTCTGATCCTCTTGATGCCCAGCTGTTGCAAACGGGAAGTAAACTCTTCACTCTCGAAACAGGGACCTTGGTCTGTCAGTATTGTCTTCGGTACGCCGTGGTCTGCAACAATGTGTCTAACTACTGCATCTGTCACGGTTCTTGCACGTTGGTCTGGGATTGCTACGGCGTCTACCCATCGTGTCGCGTGTTCCGTCATCACCAAGAGGTACTGATTACCATTGGATGTCTGAGGAAATGGACCCATGACATCTACGGACCACAAGTCACCTATCGCGGTAACTGGAATCGACTGAAGTGGTGGTCGTATGCACCGGTCACCTTTCATCAGCTGGCACCGTGGACATCCAAGTACGTATCTTGCTACGTCTTCTCTCATACCTGGCCAGTACATACTTTGTCTTAGGAGGTCGGTCGTTCTGGCCACGCCTGTATGCGCTAGCTGGTGACATTCTTCTATCATGTCGTGGCGCGACGATTGAGGTATGACAGCCAGCCAGCTTCCGTCGTTCTCTCGCCAGGTCAGAGTCCCGTAGGCATTCACTCTGAGTCGATCCCTCTGTCTGAGTAGTGTGGTTAGCTCCTTACTCGCCGTAGTTTGATCCACTTCTATTCCGTTGGTGATCACCTGTATTACTGTATTCAGCGTATCGTCCAACCTCTGCCTACGTGCAAGTCTTAGTGGGTCTTGTTCTACTGCATGCACTCCGTAAGCGACCTCGGGCAACTCAGACTCATCTTCTGGTCTCGATAACAAATCTGCCAAGACATTTTCACTTCCAGGAACGTGTGAGATCGTAAAATCGTACTCCTGAAGACGCAACATCCACCGTGACAACTTCCCCCGTGGGTCTCTCGCTGTCTTCAAAAATTGTAGCGGCTTATGATCAGTTTCGATGTGGAACCGCCGGCCGAGTAAATAAGGTCTCCATTTGTCGACTGCCCATACCATTGCTAAACATTCTTTCTCTATCGTTGAATACTTTCTCTCTGTAGTGTCAAAACCCTACTGGCATACTCAACGATTCCCTCGTCCTGTCTTAGGACCGCACCTATAGCGTAGTCACTGGCATCTGTGCACACTGTGAACTGTCTTCCTGGCACAGGTAGTTTTAGCGTCATTTGTTGGTGGTCGAGCAGCTGTTTAATTCTGTCGAATGTCCTCTGCGATTCTTCCGACCAAACAAACTTTGGCTCACCTAGTAGCCTGTATAGAGGGGCTGCTATCTCATTGAAGTTCTTCACGAAGCGACTATAAAACGCTGCTCTACCCAAGAATTGTCTCAGTTTTCTCTTTGAATTCGGGGCTGGAATCGTTTTAATCGTCAAAATTTTCTCCGGCAGTGGTTTAATCTCACCATTTCCCACTTTATGTCCCAACAGAGTAACATTCTTTTTGGCTATCTGGGACTTGGTTTTGTTGACGCGTAGTCCAAACTCTTCGATGCGTCGCAGCACGGCTTCTACATGGTTGACGTGATCGTTTTCGTTTTGACTGTATATGACGAGATCATCACCATAAACCTCCACGTTTTTCAAGTTCCTAAGTAATAGCTTCATCAGTCGTCTGAACGTAAACGGTGCACCTGCTAGTCCAAACGGCATGCGTTTAAATCGATATTGTGTCTGACCCACGATGAAAGCCGTCTTATCTCTATCACCTTGTTTTATCGGTATCTGCCAGTATCCTGAGCGAAGATCGAGAACCGAAAACACATTCGCACCTTGTAGGCGATCTAAAGTTTCTACCACTGTTGGCATGGCACACGGTCTTAACTCTGTCATACTGTTTAACTGTCGAAAATCAACACAGAATCTATACTTCCCATTCGCTTTTTTTACTAACAGCACTGGAGAGTTGTACGGGCTATCAGCTTCCTCAATAATATCATCTTTTAACATCTCTTGCACTTGTCGCTCCACTTCGCCTTCCAGATGACATGGAACTCTTCGCGTTGGAAATGACCTTACTTTCGGATCACTTAACGGAATTTCATGATTCACCTTATCGCAATAACCGTATGGGTCCCCATCTCCAGTGAACAGATGATCGTATTTATTAATTAACTCTGTCACATTGTGTACCGTCGACAGCTTAATCGCTGCTATCTCGCTGGTCTCATACATGTTGATATGCCCGTATTTCGTGACCACCACGTTCGCTTGCGTGTCGATTATTGCACCAATCTCACGCAGAAAATCCGCTCCTAATATCGTTCGCTGTAGTTCGGGTACAACAATGAAAGGAAACGTCACCTCGCAGCCACCAACAACGACCGTACAGTTCGATCTACCCGTTATACGCAACACATACCCGCCTACTGTTTGTACTGTCAATGAACACGGACTAACACTCTTACATAAATTCTTATCTATTAACGACACGGCCGCCCCTGTATCTATCAAACATACTACTTCTCGATCATTCACTCGCAACTTCGAATACAGAGCGCCTTTCTCAATAGCCCCCACTAAATCTAGGTTCATACGAAAGAAAGAACAAGCATTATACCGTCTGAAATTTTTTCTTTTTCGCCTTTCTGGGCAGTATCTTCTCCAGTGTCCCGGCTTACCGCATTCAAAACACCGGTCTTTTCTATCAGCCAACTTTAACGCCGCCACTTCCCGCTGCAATGCTTCAATTTTTTGCTCATATTCGTTTGGTTTTGGTTGGTCTATAGCGGCTACCGTTGTGCTCAGCAGCTGTCTGGTCACCTTCGCCAGCTCACTAATATCCATCGGCTGCGTTGCGTTAACCAGTTTTAATCGCTGAGAAATGTGGTCTGGGACACTCTCGATGAATTGGGAAGACAGTAACTGCGCTTCTGATTCTTCATCTAAAGTGGGAAGCGCGCGTCGAAGTAGATTAGTCAGTTTCACCGCCAACACTAGCGGGTCTCCATCAGGTCCAAGCTTCATTGACCGGAACTGCTGCATTGCTAGCTGTCTGTCTGTTTCGCTGTCAAACTCGGACACTAGTCGTTCAACCAATTTCTTCCAAGACGCTGTGCCATTTGACCTGTCTACGCTGTCATATGCAGCCTTCGCTCGGCCTCTCAACAGCGTCCCCAGGACAACTGCCTTCGCCGCCTGCTCCTTGACACCCACCAGCTCAGCAACAGCCTCGAAGTCACGTAAGAAGCTCCGTATGTCTCCTTCTTCAAACGCAGCTGGCCACGGGATCTTCATTTTCTGGAGGCAGCGACACCAAATGTAACAACAGAAGACAAGGGCCAGGCAACAGATCGTTTTATTATGAAAATCAACACGTATTTATACATATTTCACATACATTATTATAGACAAGCGCAGTCATCTGATTGGTTGTTTATCAGAAGTTAGGCAGACAAACGCAGGCTTCTGATTGGTTGTTTCGGGATTCCTCGACAAATAGAGTTCTCTATCTGCGAATCATATTTTGCCACGTTAACTTTGCTGTGATTGGTTGTTGAATCAGCCTTGTTCATATTTTCTCACGACCCATATTAACGTAGATTAGTGTCAACCAATCGGCTAGCAGCCTGCTCTCACCACAATACTACTAAGAGCCATATTTTCCCAGCTGTCCAAAAAGGTATCTGCTACGATAGGGGATATTCGTGCTCCTATTGCTACACCTCTGTATGTTTACAGACAGTGTGGCATAACCGAATTCCTAAAATAATTTTCTCAATGACCAGCTGTGTGCCATGACTAAGTTTGGGATTATAAGTTAGTTCTCTTTTAACCGCTTCTAAGTCCATATTGACTGATATATTGGTGTAAAGATTAGTTATATCATAGATAACCATTTTTTCATTATTCTCTAATTGAATGTTATTTAGTTTCCTTTTCATTTCATATGAATTAGTTAGCTCAAGTTTTTACCCTTATTTTCGTTTTGTTGCTATTTTTATTCTTTCAACCTTTTTTTTATTAGCCCTCGGTTATCCCAATCGATCATTACATCGTAATCAACGTCAACAGTATTCTACCTATCCTTCAGTTAGATCATCTACACATCGACCAGCATTACCATTATTTCAAGATGGTAATTGCCTGTTCAATACAACAACAACACCCAGTGAATATCCACCACCTTATCAGTCCAACGAGAATATATCGGCTGATAAACACTGAACAATTCTCCTCAAAATATTTCATTTGAATATATATTTTAAATTTTATTCATTTATATTTTTATTGGTGACAAAAATTAAATGTTGTATAATTTAATTTCAGAGTGACAGAGTTTATGCAACATTATTTGGTATATGAATGTTTACTACTTATAAACTTGTTAGTAGTTGTACATAATGCCTTTTATCGATTGTTCCTCTCCCTTCCTTCGTTCTTTCCTTCTTCTTTGGTATCTACCACCGAATCTACAATCCATCAACTATCTAGTTTCTTTTGTTCATTTTCTCCTTCCCCTGCTTCTCCTTTTATAGGCTTCGTTACCTGTCTTCTCCACATTCCAAGATTTCAGTAGGAGTTATATTCTGAGATGTTTTTTTGTACAAAATTTTGCTGACTACTCTTCTCAATACTATTAGTTTTGTGAAGTCAGCAAAGATATCTTTCTATACTGTACAGAAGGGTGTATATCTTATATTTCTATATATGATGCCTACATATTATTCTGCTTTCATTTTCTTTCCAATCAGACAGTTACTACTGTCTCAGTGGGGTTTAATGCGCACAAGTTAAAATGTCTTCTTAGTATTCTGGAATTATTAACGAAACTATGTATGATACCGAAATACCGTCAATGCTTATCTGTGTTATGTACTGCTGCTGAGTGAGTTATTAGAGTTTTCCCCGTCACCAATTATGCTATGTACTCGTCCAGTAGTTAATAGTCCTGACGCGGAAAGAGGGAAATCAGAAGACCACCAGGTTTACGATGATACTTGTATTTTCCAGATAAGGAAAATAAACGTCACACAAGAGTGTGAGTGAAATGGTACGTAGTGTACGTAAACATGGGAACAAGTATACAGTACAAAACTACATATGAGAATGACTAATACACATGAACCAATAAATAGACAGTCTTAATATGATTGGTTGTAATGTCATGTGATAACAAGGTCATACATTGTTTATTTAGTTAGTGGACAGATAAAAGCATATTGTCAGTTATAATGAAATATCGATCCATATACACATAGCAAAATATAATAGACTGTCAAAAACTAAACACACATCATGTGGATACATATCAATCTACCAAAGAAAGTATTCAGTGACTGTAGTGGGATTAAGGTGCAATTAGCTTTCTTCTTTTCCTTCTTCTTCCTCTTGATCATGTATTTGCTCTGCGAATGGTACACAGAAATCTAAGCTCCTAAATTCTCGGTAACAGGGATGTAGCTTCATGTCCAACTTACCCTGTTTTCAGGGTTGGCGATCAGTGTCTGTAAGTATGGTATGTGCTTTGTGCAGTCTAAATGCAAAGTACTGATACAATATTGGCAGGAGGTTGTACCTGAACTTACTGTTGCAGGTGAACCACTTGAAGTTGTCGATAAGTTTTTGTATCTGGGTAGTTGTACAAGTGATGGCTGAGGGGTGATGGATGAGATTTCCAACTGTATCATGAAAGCTAAGGTGGCAAACGTTAACTTGAGCCACCTCTGGAACCGTCGCGTCGTTAGCCTGGCTGCTTCAGTGAGGGTTTTCTCGCTCTACACCTGCAAAAATTGGCCTCTCCAAACTGAGGGTGCACGGTGGCTTTATTCATTCTGTCACAGCTGCCTCTGCAGGATCGCTTGCATTCAACAGCACCTTCGTGTTAGTAATTTTGAGGTCCGGCGGCGTGTGTTTAGACACAATGAATATCACCATTCACGGCGAGTCGTCATTTGGAAACACCTGGGCTTCGGTGTCTTGGACATGTGCTGAAAATGTCATCCCAGAGGCTTCCCTACCGGTGGTCTCTGTTCGCTAGCCCTTGGATGGGATGGAGAAGGCGGAGAGGTGGTCAGCTCATGTCGTGTCGTCGTAGGATAGATGATATTTGTGGTATATCAGCATCGGTTGGTGCGTCACGACTCCCTACTTGGAGTCCAAGAGATAGCTCGAATCAATGGCTCAAAACGTTGTCAAACATGACCAAGAATCTTAACTAGTGGAGAACGTGCTGCCATTTCCTTCTTTCCAACCTTCCCGACAATAATGGACGAATACTGTTTGAATTTTGTTAAATGTGACTGTTTCCTTCCAGATTAAGTTCTTTATCAGTTCTCTACCTATATTTTTACTTTTAATCTATGTTGTCTTATTATTATTGTGTTGCGAAATTTGGGCTACGGATATCCATGCCGAAAATTCCATACTTGTACCAAAAATAAGGTGTGGAATCAACCTGTAAATCGAAAATTAAAAAAAGATGGAAGGAATATATCGTCTGCATATGCTAAGTCAACGAGGTTATTCCCTGGTAGCAAGTCAATCCCTGAATCGCTGAAGTCACTTAGGGTTAAGTCCATTAGGACATCTATGATGAAATTGAATAGAAATGGAGATAATGGGCATTCTTGACGGACACCACTAGTCTTCACCATTTCAGATGACAACTCGGTGTAAGCCACTTAACTCTTTGACCACAAACAGCGGTGAGAGCCATAGAAACACCTCAGATAACCTTTTAAGGCCACGTCACCAACTTCATATAGGAGCATTTAACAACAGGATCCTCCGCCAAATCGGAAAACAGGTATCACTATCAAAACTCTGGCACCTCGAGCCATGGACGTATTTTGTGTTTCGGAGACATGCATACAAGACCTGCGTGTGGTCATTCACTTAACCTCACCCGGCCAACAATGTGAATCTGCGAAATTCACTTTAAGAGTGTCAGAAGACCCCTCACCTAGCCCGCGAGGACTCGCAGGTGTAGGGATACCACTGAGTGTTAGGGGGGAAAAATCACTTCTTGACTGGGTTACAGCAGATAGTCGTATGTTTGAAGTCCGTCTGAATGGGTCCGTTAAAAGAAGGAAAGACGGTGCTACCCGTCGTTGCCTTTTCATAGTCTCCATTTACGCCCCAACTAACTGCAGTTTGGATGAACAAAAGGATGACTTCTACCTGAAACTGTCTAATTTGCTGCAAAAAGCAAAATGTTCAGATATAGTTGTTTTAGCAGGCGACTTGAATGGAGAAGTAGGGAAGTTGTGCCAGACTGAGAAGTATGTAGGTAGTACGTATGTAGTTCCTTGCCGACTAACCGAAAACGGTGATCATCTTCTACAGTTTTGCTCAAGTAATCATCTGTTCCTAGTTAGCACTAACTTTACGCACAAAGAGAGACACTGCGTAACCTGTTGACCTCCATCACCAAATCAACGCTGGACTCAGATAGACCACATAGCGATAGGATATCGTTAGCGAGGGTCAACAGAAGACTGCCACTCCTTCTGGATTAGGTGCGTAGACTCCGAACACGCTCTGGTTCGCGCACGTTTATGCTTACGACTAAACGGACATAAGAAATTGACGGCAGCGAAACAGTTACGTCCACAGCTTGATCGAGACACTGAGTCCCTATTTAAGGAAGAACTAGCGAAATGAGTATTTCAGGTTGACAGCTGAACTCCTCCAGAGGTAGCCTGACACAACATACAGTTAGCTGTAGACACAGCGGTCAAAGCTGTTAATAAGCTAAAACCAAATGTTAGTAAGAGCCATTGGATCTCTATGGCCTTATCCGAAATGATTGATGCGAGAAGACTGATTCCGATGAGGTCAGGTTATGATAAGGAGCGAAAGCTGCTCAAACAAAAACTAACAAGAAGTCTACTCAAAGACCGAGAATCGTAGTAGGCGACAGAAGCTAAAGAGACGGAAAAGGCATCGGTGACCGGCAACACCACACAATTATTTATACTTACTCATCAGGGAAAAAGGTGGTTAAAGGCAAATGATAAGTGAAACGATCTCTCAGAAAAATGGCACCATAATAATCTCCGAGGATAGATGACTGGAACGCTGAAAAAAACAAAATGGCGGGCAGCGTAACTGGGCTACAGCCACGTTCCGTCTGCCGAACATCCAAACCTCCGTAAATGGGATACCGACACAGGTCCTCCGTCACTAACTGAGGTTTCTAAAGCTGTCACCAATCCGAAACAAGGCGAAGCAGCGACACCTGATGAAATGATTCCAGAGGTATTTAAGTACGGTATGGAGACAGTTTACTGTCTGCATTAACTGAGGTACTAGGCAGCGTCTGGGAATCAGAAAAAGTCCCATCGGGTTGGTGTGAGTCACTGATTATCCCCATATACAAGGAGGAAGACAAGTCTTCCTGTGACAATCACAGAGGGATTAGCTTGAGTAATATAGTATCTAAAGTCCTAGGCCCAATATTGACTAAGCTGTGCTCGGGAGGCACAAACACCAGAGAACCAGGCAGGCTTTAGACCAGGAAGAGGGTTTATTGATCATATCTTCACCATTCGACAGATTCTAGAACATAGTCATTGCTACTGGCGTCCAACAATCATTATATTTCTTGGCCTAAAGGTGGCATTTGATTCTGTCGACCGATAGGTACTCTGGCGACACTTGGCCGTAAAGTGAATTCCGAGAAAATACACCGCACTGATTAAGGCACTCTACCCGTACTCATACAGCCAGGTGAGGGCTTACGGCGAGTTGTCATCTGAAGTGGTGACGTCTCGTGGTGTCCGTCAAGGATGCCCATTATCTCCATTTCTATTCAATTTCATCATAGATGTCCTAATGGACTTAACCCTAAGTGACTTCAGCGACTCAGGGATTGACTTGCTACCAGGGAATAATCTCGTTGACTTAGAATATGCAGACGATATAGTCCTTCTAGGCGAGGACGCTGAAAAAATGCAGAGTCTTCTAAACACCTTGAGCTGCAATCTACGAATGTTTGGCATTCGATTCGCTCCTGCTAAACGTAAGATTATGAAGCTACAGGACTGAACTACACTGACTCCTAGTTTAGAAATAGAGAGTGAAGTGGTTAGTGGAGCGTGTTGACCGCTTCGCTTAATTGGGAAGTTGCATCAACCCCAATGGTTTGATCTCTGACGAAATCTCAGCACGGATACAGAGGGCTAGTTTCGCACATACCAGTTTACGCCGCCTCTGGCTTAGTA